CACACACACACACACACACACACACACACACACACACACACACACACCGCGCGCGCATACGCACGCACACTCATGCACGCAAGCACGCACATACTTCCGTGTTTGAGTCCATTTGTGTTAAATTTTTTTTCGTTAAATTTTTATGTCATACTTGTATAATAGCTGCCTAAAGTTATGAGTGTATTATGTACAATTTTACAGTCATGTCCGTGGGGTGGAGGCCTGGTGCTCCATAACACATGTTTTTTTACCTAGCTTGGACACCAGTTTCCCATTTTAGCATTGTTTAAATTTATATCTGTACAAATTGCCATTTTAGTATTTGTAAGCTATTGGGAGAAAATAAATAAATAAATAAAGATAGTGCAGGTCGTTTTTCAACTATTAACTAATTCTGTTGCTAGCTACAGACTTCTATAATGATGAAAAACAAGTACTCGATGTGGCCGATGCATATGACCTATAAAACTACTATTATTTTCTCTCATTATGATATATCTGTTTTGGTTTTTTTTAGAACAGAGATAAAAACCTAGAAGTGACCGTACTCTGCCCCCAAGTTTATCTGAGGACTAGAACTGTCTCAAGGCTGTTTCTCAATTTGTGCTAAGATAAAAAGTAGCAGTTTTTAGGCGAAATGTAATTATTGAATCACATTTTTAGGCCCGGTTTACTCAGGTGTGTGTAAATAATGTACAACAATAGCACCAATTAATAATGGTACGAATTATTGTGGCTTTTAGGTATGCATGTTACATCATTTAAGTTTTGTCTGTTTTTGCAGTAATGTAAATTCGTAAAAGGACGCATTATTCCGCGATTCCAGATCCAGGTCTCTTGATGAATTAATCGTACTCCCATCACGATAATTGAAGTTAGAAAGCGGTCATTATTCTACGTGAGCCATGCCATCCCAAAAACTTCAACTATCTTCTTTGCTAACACAAACCTATTATAAAAAAAATTAGTCAGTTTCAAAAACATGTATCGTATTCCAGCTCCGCCAAGGCCAATCCTACTGCACGGACAGCGATTGCCTGGAACAGATGCCTAGCCTTCCTGCGCCACAGTCAGCCGGGAACAGCTTCCTGTTGATGTTCCTTACTCTTGCGCTAGCTGTCGCCATGTACGCGTTTCGGCCGCGTGCGCGTGCGCAGATCATGGACGCTGACAAACCTTCGCGGAATTCGCAGGTGTGTCAATAATTAATTTTGTCTGTACCCATAAATCCGGCCGTAAATAATTATTTTTTTCTGTACCCATAAATTCGTCGAACATACAAATTTGATTTGGTATAAATTAACTCAACGAAAGTAGTACAGCCACGCACAGCAAATTATGTAACAATAAAAACATAGACGTGAGGTTCAAATAAAAAAAATGAAAATTCGAATTAATTGTCAACAAAATATTTAAAAAAAGTTACATTCCGAAATTTTTTTATTTATTTTTTTATTATTGTTTAGCCATTCCACTTTATTATTTGCGTAACACTCACGTAGTACCAACCTAATGGATGCGTTCTTCAATAGTTTGCATACGGTTGAGGGTAGAATATCGAAACTATGACTAGGACATTTTAATTATTATTCTAGATCACAGGGTTCCCTTACTAATCGTAGAGATTTGCTTTATTTATATTTTGCTAGGACATCTTCAGTAATTCACTTACAAGAACTATGGATGGTATTTGAATGTACTTTCAGCAAAATCAAGGCGTCACCAATTTAAAGTGTTCTTATTGCGTGCAGGCTATGGCCAGTAGCGACTACCTGCAGCTTGCTTATTAAATTCATATGTGTTTTTATTACCCCTTTCGAGCACAGTAACGGCATTTACCGTAAAATTAAATATTCGAATAATGACAGTATGGGATATCCCGTTTACTATATGGATCTTAAAAAAGCAACTACGGGCTTTACAGTTGGAATTCCAAGCCCTTTTTTTTATAGTTGCCGCCTACTGCTTCTCCACGGAGGAGTATCACCAACGAACTAACAAAATTAAAAGAGTTACACGCACACATTTGTGGACGTTATACACACATGTTTGATGTGCACACAAAGACGATACGGTGAAAACCGACGTGTTTGTATGTCACCTCATACGAACACGTCGGTATTCACCGTACTGTCTTTGTGTGCAAGTGTAAGGTCTATGCCTCGCCAGCGAGTGCGTTTTGTGGGTGTGTAGTTTGTTTTCGCTCTGGAACATTCTGATTGAGAACATCCTCCTTTTTTTAATAAGGGACGTAGCCACAATTTCCGTTTGCAAACAAAAACATTTTGAAAGCTTTACCGTTTCGAATTTTCAACTTTGCTGGTTATTATCAAATACGTGGTTTATTAGCCCCTATGTCTCTTTTCCTTACAATTAGCGGCGACATTATGAAAAGTTACAAGAATAAAATATATGAAATGGGCGTATATGAAAGCTGTAGTGAGCAGAGGAAGCGAAAGATGCAGGGTTTGAAATTATCAAGATTATTTATATCAATATTATTTTCTTTCATAATTATCCATGCTGATTCGTAACTTTGTCTTTTTAGTTTTTGACTAAAAAAAGACAAACAACGAGTAAACTAAATAAACACGAAAAAATCGTTGATAAAACGATTTGGTTTCAGACTTTTTGTGAGATTGACATTTGACATGTGATAAGTTTAAAGAAATTAACATTCCGACACTAGAATCACATTTGTGATAAATCTCAGTACGGAGCACTAAAAAACCGACCTCAAAAGTACGTGAAAGTACATATAATTACCAAGTTTTATTGAAATCGGTTACCGGAAAGTGCGCAAACCCGGATTCATCCCCTAGTTCGCCACTATAAGGGACGTGATACAGGAGATAATAAAAATCGGTTCTCACTACTCGAAAGTATATGGAGAGAAAAACGCCTTGAATTGGAGAATAGCAAAATCAACCATTAAAATAATTGCTCCTTATAATAAAATTTAGGCGCTATTTATAAAAATGAATCTTCATGCGTGAACAGCCACCCTTAGAGGTGGATGATTTTCTTCAAAATTAAATGGAACCACTATGTAGAGGTACCCTTTTTCGAACAAAAAACAGAACGATGAAATCGGTTCACAAATAACGGAGTTACCTGCAGGAGCAGATATTCTCAACAACTTAGAAATAAAATAGTTACATAAGGAGTCGATTCTCAATTCAGAATCAACCATACTTCAACTAGAGTAGCACCGTTCTTGGTCTTGATTTAATTATTTAGGTAGAGTTAAATGAATATGACGATTTCAAGTGTGATTTGCTTACCTATAAAATAAAGATGATTTTGAATTTGAAATTTTGGCACGTTTGGATGCGTCTCTATATAAATATAATTATCTATGATAATTATCACTTCGTACTGTGGGAAGAAGTGTGTTAGGAGCATAGCTAGTGAACGTTCATTGTCTCTGCCCGGCCTTAATGGGAGATGGACGTATGACAGTAGGACAGTATGTAGATATGCACGCAATTTCAGTTGTCTTACAGTTGAGTGCGTTACGACAAAAGTGTCAGACACGGCTTAGTAAAGAAAACGATTTGTGTTACTTGGAAAAACGATTGTGTTGTTGGCACATTTACCTATACTTACCTATTTCTGTCGTAGCAGTAAAATGTGAGCATTACTGCGTTCTAGTTTTGAAGGGTAAAGGTGTTGGTGAAATTACAGGCGCTTGAGACTTATCAACTTATGTCTCAGAGTGAACGGCGCAGTGGCAGTGCACCTCAGAACTTTGCGATTTAAAGTTCTGAGTGGCACTGCAACTGCTATGGATGATCATGTCGATTACCAACAAACACACGACTTGTTGTTACTCGGTATCATAAACAAAAAAGGGCATTTGAACTTTATCTCAGCGCTCTGTGCGAGAATAGAGGTATTTCGCGCTTTATGTCGCTTTAGTGCTAGTCGCGCCCTATCATGCTAGCCCTACAGATGGAAAGTGACGATGAGGTTGATGTCGGAACATGTACACCTATGTAATGCCTATATACATTTAGAAAACTTAACTTAGAAATAAAATAGTTACATAAGGAGTCGATTCTCAATTCTGGGGGGCTACTCTCGATATCCGTCAGACATCCGTCCGAAACAATTACTGTCAAATAAGTAATATTCGACAAAATTAAAAGACAAGCATCCAATATGAAGCTTCATTCGCATCACGCGTCTTTTCATTTGGTCAAGTATTGCTTATTTGGCAGTAATTGTTTCGGACGGATGTTGGCCGGAGATCGAGAGTAGACCCCCTGAATCAACCATACTTCAACAGGAGTACCGCCGTTCTTGGTCTTGGTTTAATTATTTCTGATTCTCCTAAAATCTGATCTAAATAGGTAATGAATGAATAGAACAATTAAACACCCACTTAATAACCACAATTCACGCAAACGAGGGTTTAAACAGGAAATACATGTACTTTATCGTGTTTTACATATGACGTAATTATATCAGCAACACTAAAAGTGTTATCGGTTTCTTTGGCGATCAATTTGTAGCAAGTAATAAAACTTGGTATTGGTGAAAAAAAAAACTCAACATTTCATGTGTAGTTCATGGTCATTAGTTAAAAAAAAATCACATGGCACTCTCAATTACGATTTTTTTATTTGACTATTAACTACGATTGTTGATACTTTTAGTTGTACATTAAATTAGCAATTTTTGACATTTTCAAAAACCCAATTCATTACAAGGATTACAATTTGTAAGTCCCATATTCACAAAAAAAATTACATTCTTCAGTAAAAACGAAACTCAGAAAAGAGGTTTGTGTAGGAAGGTGGAAATACAAGAAACTGTTATTATTTTTGCTTAAAAATTAACCACAGAGTAAAAACTAATTATTTCGAAATTTACTTTATTCGGTCATTCTAGGGTTAATTATATTCGCTGCCTAATTACCGTGCCAATTTTTATTATTTAAGTATGTAATCGTGAAATAGTATTTAAGTTAGACACAAGCAATTAACACTACACTAACTCGAATTTCCGCCGGACTTTGCGATGCCGAATTATGCCAAGATGCCAAATAATTCTGCTAATTTAAATTAAAAAATAAAATTACTTGTAGCAAAAAAAATCATTAATACATGTTCGAAAATTAAAAAGTTATCGCAAGTTTCCCTTTTATAGGCTCTGGTGAAAAGTTGCAATTTTTAAGTTAGCGCAGTGTTAATTGCTGGTGTTGTACTTGAATACTAAAAATAATAAAAATTGCCACGGACATTAGGCAGATAACACTAACCCGAGTATGACCTTATTAAGTACGATATTTCCTGCAGAATGTTACAAATTCAGAGTTATGTATAGTTCTTAGGTTTTCGCGATTGTTACACATTGGAAATGAAACCATTTTTTTGGATCTAAATAGCGTATATTTGCCGCCTGATTCTCCGTGACGATGAAGGGCCCGAAACGTTGGTTTGCAAAAACAGAATAATATCGTCGGCTAAGGATCGTATTCCAGAACTCTACTCAATGCTCAAGTCAGAGCTTGAGTATGATTAAAGCACTAGAATTCATACCCAAGTCCTTGCCATTACGGTCGTTTTCCAGTGCTTGAAATCATACTCAAGTCCTGACTTGAGCATTGAGTAGAGTTCTGGAATACGACCCTAAATCTAAAGAGTCAAAGTAAAAAAATCCAGGTAAATCTAAATAATAAACTGAATATTATAATCCAAGTAAATTCAGATTTGAAAACGTAATTTTTTTAACTACTTCTCGTTTACTGTGCTAACTTCCCTGAAGAAAACAAGGAACTAGGGGTTGCTCTTTCAAATAAACTTAAAAATCCTATGGAACACACTTTGAATCAATTGTGTGAAATCTAGAGCCATGTCGTTTTTCCATTCTATTTTATCGAACACGTAATCTTTAATTTTGTAATATGTATTAATTAAATTAATACGAGATTTATTGATAATCTTAATATATGCTCCGGAATCTTATTGTAAAAACATACAGATAGAATAAAAGAAGAGTTTAGCCCATAAAAGAAAACTTTGCCTTAGTAACACAAAATCGGTGGTACCTTGTAATTCGTTTTTTCGTTTTTGAACGGAATCCCCCTTTTCTCTTCATGCATGCTATTAATAGTATATACTAGTTATCAAATAAAGGAATAATTATACATGGTCATTTAAAATTATGTCTAGTATTTCTGTTTTTTGGGCGTACTCAAAAATTCACACCGCTGATATACTTACGAGATTTATACCTAAAAAATTGTTGCATTTGCAACCCAGAGTAGCATACCATGCGTTGGATAACAAGAATTTTCAATATCTTGTCGTAAGCATAAGCTAGTTAGTCCCTTTTGTCATTAAATAGTAGACTTTATAAATACGCACACGCTCAATAAATATGTGCATTATTATAATTTATTTACCTTTCAGGGTCCTGACGATAGCACACCGCCGGCACCGCCAAGAATTTAAACATCGATGCTCGACGATTTGGACACTTCGAATACGGATTCCAGTTATTGTATTAAATAACTAGTAGAAGGTAACAATGACAGGGCTGTAATAAGCAGCTTATTTGCGACGGTGTAACTCAAATATAGGGTAGGGAAAACGTATTGCGCACAAATGTTTATTAAAAACCAAAAATCAGAATAGTTACAAGTTTTAAAATGTTCATTTATTTGTAGAAATTATATGAAAAAGTTACATTCATTTGGGAGAAAAAAATGCCTAATAATTTAGACGACACATTTGTGCGTACTGCGAAAATGCAGTTACTGTGTCAGTTTTGAATCTCTCGAAGATCTGTAACCATTTCGTCAAAGAACATTATTAAAGAATCTTTATTATGAATTCGTTGATTATTTTATTTTATCTGTACCTGTATTAAGCGACCATTCCGTAGTTTTGTAGTAAATCGAAGATCTTGGATAGCATTCAAAGCTGTTATTATTATTATCTTATGCTTTACGAGTATTTATTTCATAAAAAATATCATGCCGCAAAGACAATACTGATTTTGCTTTACGATGTTAGGTACCGATAGTATCATTTATCTGAAATGACTAAAACAATTGTTCTCATTATAATGACGAGACTACTGTTTAAAATATGCCTTATACTAAATTCCAAAGAACACATTGTGCAATACGAATTCCACGAACTTTAAGCAAAAACAGTGGATGCAATATTACGAAAATGTGCAATTTCATTCTCTGCTACATATTTTAGACAAATAACGTGATATATTTAATGTTTAATTTATAATTTTAATTGATATATTTTGTTTTGTTTTTAGTGCACTTTGTTTTCGCTTGAAATTCACTAATAGATTAGGATCCTGGAAAGGAAAGTGTACCACCAGAAGAAATGTCACAATGCCACATTAGGTGTTGTACTATTTGACATTAAAGAGATACCTGTGCAGCACTGGAATAGGAGAACGTGTTGTCTGTTTATTTGCATGGCTCAACCCCAACCATTTGCTCCAAATGCTGTTAAAAGTGCTAGGGTATTAATGTACACGAACTACAAGGTAATCAAAAGGGGAAAGGGGTCCCTTCGATAAGAAGGCTGTTTGTATTGTATATAACCGAGTTAAATAACTTGAACGTAAGAAGTCAAGCAGACATAGAATATATTCCAATTCAGGTGTTTATCCACAAGTTATCGTAAAATCGTGTTTCTTGGGGTCCGGGTTAAGTTTTTAGTATATAATAATAATAAAATAATACCTAAAAACCATAATACATTTCATTATTATACTACATTTATCTCTGTTTAATGTTAAGCTATTAGATTCCAAACATGTACTATAAAGAAATAAATAAATTGTATCTACATAACTCATATTTTATTTACAACTTTTAAAAAATGTAAGTAACTTCACATTGATAAAAAAAATTATATAATATCTTTTATGAAAACTTTTCTACAGGATGTGTTGTAACAAAATTAAGAATTATTTATAATTGCTACTCAATTTAAAACTACAAAACAATTTTATTAAAATGTTTAAAAAGATGTATTTTACGTTAGATATCTTTAAATGCTTTCTGCAAATAGAAGTCTAAAATTAAAAGAAGGAATGAGCAATATTAATTTAAATACCTATGAGAACGGCCTTCTAAAGGCGCGTTTCACTTTATTATGCTAATAATCGATTAGGTGAATATCGACTAAGGTCCAATGCAAACGAAAGGCTTGTTGGAAAGTTGTCTGTGTTAAACAGCCAATCGACGAACTATGTGACAACAATGGCGAGCAAATGTAACTCGCAAGTACGTTACCAGTCTTGAACAAGTCCGTTCGGTGTTTCAGGAACTAGTTATCATCCAGTTTGATTTCGAAATCATAGACTTTATAGATAAGAAATAGGGTCACATCATCAACTCGAGCTACACTGCTTACAGTACCTACTATTATTATATCGTCCACAAAATTGGACAGTATCAAATGGACAACAGTAAAAAAGATACCTTGTTATGACTTAGTATTGAGTACTTTCAACAATTCCTTATTATACTTAATACAAAGTGTAACAAAAAAGTGTTCTCCTAGTCATGACTACACCTTTTCATAACACCATGTAGATGGACAAGGATAATTTTTGAACATGTCAAACCTTCCCTTTCTGTGTGTCCTAAGAAAGCTTAAAGAAGTAAAATTGCACACGTCATCAAAACGTTCACGTGTTGTAGGTACTCACTCTTTAGATAAGAAATATATATCAACCAACAAAACTTCGTTATTTTCCGTGGTGTCGTAATAACGACGTACAATTGGTTGGTAAGACACATCTATCTTTCCCTTATTGGTCGATAAAGGGTCATAACCACTTACTTAGTATCCGATCTATTTATTAGGACTTATAAGAGTATTTATACTGGTGTAGAGGGGCAGCCGCGAGCTCAATAACTCACTTTTTCAAATTGAAATTGTTGCCTTCACGGTAAAAAATGCCAATTACTGTTATACTGAATAATTCTAAAGTCATATAATACTTGTAAGTATTATTAATTATACTTACTTTAAATATGTAATAACTTTCCAAATATAATAAAATATGTTTATCGTTAACTAACTTTGTTCTTTTATTAATATATAATTCTATGTTGTTTTGGTACTTGAAGAGCCAAATGAATAAACACCAAAAATACTTAGCATTATTATGTGAATATGAGTAGAATAAAATAGTCCACACCAATTCGAAATGAGTTGAAACCTTCACTTTTCACCGATTCAGATAGTATTCAATTTGACTTTCACTGAATGAAATTATATTTTGTAAGTCTTGTAAGGCATTCTAGAAACCTTCTGTACATGTACCATAACATATTCTATGCCTTAGAACGGCTACACGCTACTGCAATGCAGTCGCATATGTTGAATCATCAAAAACGCATCACGTTTGCATTGCGATTGTAAAGCTGCTCAAGTTGCCCTTATGCGTAGACGATTAACGACTACATCACTACTGCATTCGACTTCGACTGCGACAAAATCGCTGCAGAAGCGCTGCTAAAAGTCGCGGTGTGTAACTCTTTTAACCATGCTGATAAATTAGGCATTACCCTGGAAGGCTTCTGTAGGCACACTTAGTTTCAACCACATGTTCATAAAATACCTTGTCATATTATAAAATTAAATGCTTGCATCGAAAATGTTTATAAATACATTTATCGTTTCACTAACGAAACGACAATACTAGATCATGTATCTTGTATTCTATCTACTTCGTTTTTAACCTTTTTTAATAGGTCACTAATCTGTTTGTACTTGCCTGTTGAATTCGGAAGATTCTCAAAGTTGATGACATCACAAATATCTTTAGCAAAGTTGTTATCACTTGGAAGTTTAATATACGACGACGCTATGTTCATAACTGGAGTTCCATATGAAGTTCCTTTAACAAGACCAGTTTTTGGAGCAGGTTTTGATAAGTCGGAATCACTATCTGTATCCTGAGACTTTGTACTTGCTTGTGGGGAATTGACAACCGAATCCGGTCTTAATTTGTCTGCTATTGTATCTAGTTTCTTTAGTTGCAATTCCACGTTAATAACACTGTCACTTGTCACATTGCTATCAGTCGTTTTTGACATATTGATGTCACTTTCTGTTGCCACGTTAATGTCATTATCTGCTGCGACATTATTGTCACTCTTTGTTTCTTTATTGATGTCACTACCCTTCGCTTCTGATTCTTGAGTATCCTTACCAGATTCATTCATATTGTCAGCAACAATATTGACTTGCGAATCTTGTTTCCCTATATCTGCCTCTCCAAGATCGTGAGTGTCATTTTTAGCTACGGTAGTTTCTAATGGAGGTGTGTCATTTGGTATATTATCATCAGAATCCTGTTCTATAACATCATTTTTTAAAGCGGCTAGCAATTTCTGTTTCTTATCTTCTAAATCATCAAGAGATGTCTGAAAATAAACAGTAGTTTTAATTGTGAAGATTGAAGTAATCGAAGAGACAGGTTACACAACAAAAAACAATGATTGTACTGTATTGTACAATCATTGTTTTTTCTTAGCAGCAGTATAGCACCTTGTGAAAGAGTTCGTCCAGAGCAGTACTGCCACCTTACATATTTCTGCCGCCAAGCAGTAATGTTAGCATTACTGCGTTCCCCGGTATAAAAAGGTAAGGGTGCTGGTGAAATTACAGGTACTTGGGACTTGTCAACTTGTCTCAAAGTGACGGGCGCAGTGGCAGTGCCCCTCAGATCTTTGCGATTTAAAGCTTGAGTGACACTGCAACTGTTATGGACAGGCGTGTAGCTTACCATCGGGCGCACGACTTGTTCGTCCCGTCACTTGATATTATAAAAAAAACTGTATACTTCAGTCTACTGGCGAAAGTCTGCTCTAAGGGTCGTATTCCAGAACTCTACTCAATGCTCAAGTCAGGATTTGAGCAGACTTGAGTATGATTTCAAGCACTGGAAATACGACCCTAATGGCAAGGACTTGAGTATGATTTTCAGTGCTCACTGCAATACTCAAGTCCTGACTTGAGTATTGAGTATAGTTCTGGAATAAGACCCTATGACATACATATCAAAAAGTTACTATAGGTGGTTACAACTTTAAAAAACGTATGCACTTATGCAGCTCGCGTCAGATGCAATAGCTCAAAAGCAGAAGTTGTTTATGCTTTCCGAGCATAGAAGACCATTTCAAATAAATCTGTCTTTGCAAGGTTTGTCCATGTCTATCAGCTAGCACCTTCGAGTTCTTGAATCTTAATGGAAACTTGAAATTTAGTCAATATTCTTCTCATGGCTAAACTGCTTACAAGCTGCTTAGCCTTTTTTTGAGCTTTAGCTATTTCAGAAGCGAACTTATACCCTTTAACCTTTGGATCAGATGCTACCAATTATTTAATCTGTTCTTATAAAGAGCCAAGCTGATAAATTTATTGGCAACAACGTGCTTGTAAAGGTAAAATTGCTTAAACGTCGTCGTGGTAGAGCGTGCACTGATAGTACAAATTTCCGCGCTCTCTTTTCTTTACCATTTTATTAGAATCGGCGAAAGTTTCACGGTTATAGTGGTTATAATGTAGACATAGAATAAATTCGCAATAAAACTCGTACTCTATGAAGAGTTCTCTTTTTGCAATTTCTAAAATCCCAGGAAAAACGAGACTTTCGAAACTATTTCTCACATTTGTATTGTATGTGTGGATACAAACATAATAAAAAGAATCAAAAGAAAAGACGCTGCTGGGTGGTATCATTCAACCATGAGTCGCGGGTGCCATGGACACATAGACAACCACATTTTTTTACACTTTATTTATTTAAGGGCTTTGATCATTGTTGAACATGTTAGCTCCAAGGCAAATGGCATGAGTCTTAAATGTCTCGATATATCAGAGAGTAAAAACATAAGTCTCGAAAATGCCAACAAATCGTAGAGAATTAGCGACATTGTATATTGTAATTCGCATCAAACAGTATGCTTCCAAAATACATTGGTTATGACTACATCTAAAGTGTGGAACCTTTCACCATGTTTGTACATCCTGAACAACACAACTTGAATATTTTAAAGGTAAGTCTCGTCCACATCTTCATTTTGTATCAGGTGAAATTGCGGCTAAAACATAGGCCTCTTAAATAAAAAGTATAAAATACTACTTTTCTGATAAGTATGTATACCTGTACTTCCGTTGCACTATCGGTCTGCATGTTGAACAAAAAACGCCGATGTAAAACTACACAATACATTTGTATTAAGAAAAAGGAGAAATAAGTTTCGCAATTAAATCAAAACGAAATTGGCGCTACTTACGTTATCTTCGTCTATAACAATCCAGTCACCTTCTGGAACAGGTATATCTGTTACTTTCGTCACTTCGATGACATCTATTTCGTCGTCTATTCCCTTTTTATGATGTGTTTTTCCACTTTTGTCGTCTTCTTCTTTGATAGTGTTTGTTGGTGGTGAGTCGGGAGGGGGTGGGCAGTCGGGTGGAGGGGGCGGAAGCGGCGGAACGTCATCTGGTAATGGTGGTACTGATGGGAATTCAACACATTCTGCAAAACGAGAAAATAGAAGCTAGAAATTTCGCCATTACTTTTGTTCACGTTCACGTGACACGAACAGACAACCTGACCAGACATAAATTACCACGTGACGACAATAGACTACTCAGCAGTGCACTGACCGAATAGCAATGTGCAAGACCAGCCTGCTGAGTAGACGTTTCCTTTGTTTTACATTTAAAAATTATATTGTAGATGTAGATGTATATTGTAGACACACATGTAAATAGAATTTGTATAAATAGTCTAGTTTTTAGAAATAAAAATCTCTTTGAATCCAGACATCAACGTTGTCTCATTGACGACGACTACAGCATCCTCTCACTACGGCCAATACACCTTTAGCCGTCTTTGAGTCTGTGAGATTGGCAGTGACAAAATTCACTACATGCACCACTTATCCTTCCCACCTTCCGTCTGTTACCTTAGGTCGCATGGTAACAGGTTTCCTCTTCCTATCTATATACGTATATATAGTAGCGTATGTTAGGTACGTAGAACGAAGGGTTGTTTGTGAAAGATTACAGCTTTCCCTTACCATTTCATGTGTAGCCAGCTAGCTTTAATTACACGTACAAGACGATACTCGACAGTAACACTCATATCACACCCAACAAATACTACACAAAGACAGAGATAAAGTTAGTTGGCGCTACAACTTTGTAGGACTAAAGAATTAAGTTGTTTTCCATTGATAGTAAGTAAACAGAAGTTACAAAAACTCTCAATACTGAATGTTGTAAAACTCAGTTTTGTTATAAATATTTACGCTAACCCGGTTCAATAAACAAGGCTTAAATCTATATACTGCAATACACATTACCATCTCCACTATCCAAGTCCATTTCAGATTGACCTTCCATTGCCGCGTTGTTAGACGCAGCTGACGGGAAAAACATTAACTTCTTCCGCTTATATGCTTTCATTGCGTTTGGTGCTAAATTTTGCAGCATCTCTAATTTACTGTCCAACTGTGATATGGGCGGCATTCCGTACTTATGGGCTTCCTGAAAATTAGTTTTGGAATTGTTTTTTTTTTTTTGTTGACAAAATATTTTTTTCATACGCGACAGACCTTCACTCTACCTGATGTTAAATACTGTGAAAGAAACTTAGTGCCATGTTGATACAATCTTTGTCTTTGCCCCCTCCACCCTGCATTCATACAAGATGCCTTTTCACTTTGTTTTGATTTGTAGAATTCCGTATTATACGACGGATGGAATACATGTGCTGTAGGGTTAGCTCGACAAGGCACGACTTGCGCGAGATAATGCTATTCTCGCACAGAAATCCCGTGCCTTATGTCGTTCCAGAGAAAAATTTGAACATCCATATATACGAAACATGTATTATATAGTACCAAGCTACGCCAGTGATACTATTGTCATACATCGCCACGAACAGTTACCATGCTGGACTGCCACGCAGAGTTCACGGGTTCGATTCCCGTGCCGGGAGAAATATTTGTGTGGCCTACATTTATTTCTCTTGTGAGTTTGGATGTAACTTGTGGTTGTCTATGTGTGCGTGCATGGCAACCGCGATACAAGCTATGAGTGTGTGCGTGTTAATATATTATTCAATTCAATTCAAAATATTTATTTCAGACAACAAGGATCCATTGGTGTTAATAGTAGTAAATTAAACTTATAAGCTACGTTAGTAGGAATATTATATAATATATTACTTAATTAATTAAAATCTAAAATGTCATGTACTTATGAGGCATCTCCTGCTGAATCATTATCCGTACGAGATGCCTCAGTAAAGGCGCTCTGTGGTCCTCTGCCACAACCTTCAGGGTGCTGTTGTTAGTCCCCAGAGCCTTCTAACCAACGATGCGACTTTTTTCCGCAAGACGGTATGAAAGCAAATCGTAATGGCCATAGCAAACATCCCAGAGGCGCTGCAGTACCGGTGTAGTAGGTATTATTGTTATTCACAACTAAACATTAGTTTAAAACGGAGATGCTCGAGAAGTGTATTGACATATATAGCTAATTCCACAACTTAAGCTCTTTATGTAGATTATAGGGGATTTAAAAGGACAACTTGCAAAGAAAATTCGTAAACACAACATACCTCCTTATATCTTGAGCTAGCTGGTACATTGTAACCAGGGAAGTCGAAGATCTTTTTAATGTCATAAGTGTCTTTGGAGCCTGGCTCACAGACCTCTCCATCTTCTTCGTCAGGATCTTGGATTGCCTTACCCTGGAAATGAAATTAATGTTCATGTAAACAATTGACACAATATGTATAAACCCTAGCCTGCCAGCTCATACATAAGTTACATAATTTATGCAATGTTCTTAAGTCTAACTAAATTATTTGTGACTGTAGTAGTCAATACAACAGCTGTGTCACAATTTGAAAGTGAAACAGCATTTTTTTAACATCAAGCAACGGAACCAACAAATTGTGTGCCTGTTGGTGAGCGACACGCCTATCCAAGACAATTGCAGTGCTACTCAGAGCTTTAAATCGCAAACATCTGAGGGGCACTGCCACTGCGCCCGTCACCCTGAGTCATAAGTTGACAAGTCCCAAATGCCTGTAATTTCACCAGCACGTCTACCCTTCAAAATTGCTTTACGCAGTAACACTCACATACTTCTTGGCGGCAGAAATACGTAAGGTGGCAGTACTTCCTGGAAGAACTCTTTAATAAGGAGCTCCACTGCTACTAAAAATATGTTGGAAATTGCCGAATATAATAATGTAAGTAATGATTAGAATGTGTAGGTGACCACGCTCAGTCTGAATCTAGAGAGTACCCCATACTATGAGCACCAGAGCAACAGATTTCTCTCCAAAGCACTTAGAACCACCTAGAACATCTAGACCAGCATTAATTTAGAAAAAATAATTTCAAATCAATTTCCTACTGTAAAGCAAACCTGGAATGTCCTCGTCCAACAACCACACGTAACGAGAACGGACACTCTCCGCCCCTTCCTAAGCTTTAGATATCGCACCACGCCCCGCACATTGACGGTCACATTGACTGAATTACAACAAGGCTGCCGGCGCGGCGAGCCGGTTTCGCGCTAAGACGACTTTGATATTTCAATCTAGTTTTCATTTATTCATTACGAAACTTGTACGTTAATATATAACATCATTTACATTACTATTTATAATGGTCGTGAATTGTGCTGTGCGGCTGTTTATTATCATCTAAATGGGATAAAGACCGGAGTTTCTTTCAGTAAGTAATAAAAAACTTATGTCTGAGACTCATTCAGTTATTGTTTTCTTCATTTGTTTAGTGCAGAGTAATATATAATACAGATTTATTAAATCAATACAAATAAGACGCAATAATTTCGTGAGCTTACTACCTCACGAAGATATGGCGTCTTATTAGAACCCTTGTCTACTGACAAGGGTTCTCCAATTTTCAATTCGTATTGCCGCTAAAATTACGTTGTGAATATACCTAATTATTAACTAGGTAATAATAACCTTGGACACGCAATTTCAAATACATTGGTTAGGTACCTTATTTAAAAGTATCTGTCCAAAATATAACATTTTAAGTGCTTTTAATATATATTTTTTAAACAAATCTTCAATATTATTCTAGTTAATGAATTATATGGATATAAATACCTAATGAACGTGTGTAATTATTGGGATTCTATTAGTAGAATTATAGATAACAGATTCGCGTTAGAATTTTGGCTATGTTGCCGCTCTGACCACGTAACGTAATAGAACTAGAAAGTGATGGGTAACCCTGCCACATCACGCACTCATTTGCGCGTGTGCAGATAGCTCCTTGCTGAATGTATTAGTAGTCGGTAAATAACTTTCGACTATTGTATGGAGTGTCCGGGGTGTGCTTTTGGGCACCTGACAACCTGAGGTTGTCAATTTTAAACAAATATGCCTTGAGTGGTGATTTGAAAGTAAAAAGTAATGATGGGTATATAACATACATACAGCAATGAAATGCAGTATTTTTAGGCTCATTGACATATTGATATTTACCATGGAATCAAACATAGTGATTCCTGAATGTGAGATCTTTGCATCTTCCATCCAGGCAGGTGGGTAGCCCGCCTGTCTCATGCGGTATATGAACAGCGGTAATTCATTCCTCTTGAGGTCTAACGCGTGTCGAAGCTGGCCTGAAATTCTACCAGGAACCAGATGACCATATTTCTGTTCATCTTCCACATGGTAACGGCTGGAAATAGATATACAGTATATAAAATAATAAAGAAATAAAAATTTCATAAAGGACAATTTAGAATTAAAAAATATGTGGTTTTGTCGGGTTGTTATCTACTTATACCTTTATAATTGCTGTTTTAAATATATTTTAGAAAGTGCGTAAAATAAATAATAATAAGTAGCAATAAGTGAAAAAATTTTTGTCTCTATGCCCATGACAATGACTTCTTAATATCATAACTATTTTTTTTATTTAATCAAATTGTACTTAAAAAAAATGTAACTTGTGGCAATCACTAAATGGAGTGCATTCAGCAAATGTCGCCTCCTCCTACGTAAAGTATCGTATGTCGAAATTGCCAAGTTTACAGGGGAGCGTTTTAAAGTTCTCCATTTTAATCGGCAAAGCTCGTTACTCACATAGAGTGACAATCTAATAGATCATGTAACCGATATCTACGATATTATAATACTCTAATGAAAAATTAAATGCTAAAGTCACGTGTTATGCTTATATCAGTGAATTCAGAACTTTAAAAGGCTCCCCTGTAAACTTGGCAATTTCGACATACGATAGTTTACGTTGGAGTGGTCGAATTATAATAAAAATATGTATAAGAATATAATAGAAGATGAGGGAATGAAGAATAAAGTTTCCAGCATATGTAACGTGATTTTTTCCGTCCTGTATGGGATGAGATTTATAGATATATGACAAAAAAAAAAGTGACAAGGTGCATGCAACCTTCATATCGCTAGCAAAAGATACCAGAAGAACTATTAGTCGAGCACAAGGAATGCACATGAAAATCAATGCAACAAAAACTGCAACACTACAGGAAAAAATATAACACACTGGAAAAAGAAATGCTGAAGCTAAATGGAATGTTTTCATTAAGATCAAAAGATATTGATAAAATTGGTGAACATGCAAGAAATCTCCTGCAAATAAAAAAAAAGTTATTGGGCAGATCATATCACCTGATAACCAAATGATAAGAGGTGGATCACAGAGTCACCAACTCATGGAAAAGATACCAGTCCCTAAGAGAGGTTATGAAAAATAGAGATATCCCAGCTAGTGCAAAAAAGAAAGCATTTGATAGTTACATCCTTCTATGTCTAACATACGGATGTATGGATGTCAAACCTGGTCGCTAACAAAGAAAAACACAGAAAAGCTAGAGGTTTTTTTTTTTTAAATAACGCACACATTCAACATAGCCCCGCACTAGGGAAACTCTGTGTCGCGGGTGCCATGGACACACACTTAGACAAATTACACCCAAACTCACGAGAGAAATAAATGTAAGCCATACAAACATTTCTCCCGACCCGGGAATCGAACCTGGGACCTCTGCATGGCAGTCCGGCATGGTAACCGTTCGGCCACGGAGGCAGGTATGCCAACACAGCATGGAAAGAAGAATGATGAATATGAGAAAGAAAGACAAAAATAGCATTAGATCAATTCGACGTAGAACAATAAAACAAAAATAACGTCATGTGTGTTAAGAACTACATGAGGAAATTGAAGTGGCGTTGGGCTGGACATATCTAAAGGGAGACTAGAAAATGGACCAGAGATGTAACAGAGCGGTACCCAAGAGAAGGCAAATGCAGAAGGGAAGGCAGAGGAAAAGATGATTTAAAATTGGTGGCAGGCCCATTTTGGCAATGACAGGCACGGGACAGGGAAAACTGGAGGCCAATCTCGAAAGACAAGCTGATGATGTGGACATAATTTAATTATAGGTAAATGTTGCAGATTTATTTTTAATGAATTAGTTTTGAAATATTTAAGTATTCATTTTAATTGGAATTTTATGTCTATTATTTTTAGTATTAATCCAGGTTTAAGATATTTTTAAATTTTTTAATATTAAATCTGAAACCCCCCAGAATTCACGAACTGCTGGATTTTCTTAGCTCTAAATGATACTTCACCAACAAAGCCTACTGACCCCATTTTGACCATGTTTTTTCTATTCTCATTGATTCTTGCTTGGTTCCGAGGCATCGGACAGTCTCTGAGTGGATGACTGCCACCACAGTTGAAGCAAGAAGGCCCTCGGCGTAAGACGGGTGTAGGAGATGGCTCCTTCTCAGCATCTGTTATTAGTGATGAATTCTGGAATTAAAGAAAATTTTATTTACTAGTCTTTTCTTCAAGTACATTGATTAGCTGATAACGGGGTTTTTTAATTGTTTTGCCTACATAAGGAATGTATAACAGTACATGTACTATATTTGTAACCATTGTTTCTCTCTTTTATGAACTGCCTCTCTAGTTGTGAAAGGAAAACAACCTACAAATATGTAGTAGTTTTAATTGATGTACCAATTTCAAGTGTAATTTGATTACCTCATAAATAAGGATATCAGATCTGATTTGAAACTAACAATATAATATAAATTCGAAATTTGGGTGGGTCAATGCAGCAAAAATGACACCACGGTTCAAAAAAAATTACACAATTTGGTTTTAATTGTATGACAATAATAATCAATTCATTAGAAATAAATGAGATATTTCAAATATTGTATTTTTTCTCTTCATTAACACAGTCATAGTGCTGTTATCTATGGTGTTAGACTTACGTGGCTATATCTTGGAATTTCATCAAGTTCAGTAGCAGGGGCTGTGTCCACAAAGAACAGATTGTCCTCTTCCTGCTTTTCTTCCTCATTCAGATCTTCCGGCCAAATGTCAAGTTCCAAATCTGTCTCAGTCTCGGATCCAGTCAAATTTGCCTCATCATGTAGCTTTATTAACTTCAACATAAAAGCCTTGATCTCTTCCTTACATGCCTTGGCCAGTCTTTGATCCCTAAATTTTACACTAACTATAGGTCTCCTGTTCTCACATCCCACCACCCCTAAATCACTATTGGAATTGGGTGAATCTATAACTATGTCGTCATTAAATATAATTTTATCATTAACTACGTGGTTTTCAGTCTGGTGTGGTGCTTCTGACAGGTGATTTGTGTGAGTTTTAACATGCTGTATGTCAGGTGAAGTTTTCCCTCCATTGTGGTCTTTTGTTGGGGATACGAGAATACACTCGCCCTCAGTGGAACAATCAAGATTTACAACATCTATAGTAGTATCTCCACTCGTAGTCCTACTCCAAGAGGTTAAATTACTATCGTCTAGGTCCACTCGACTTATTTTGGCTTCAGTTGCCTCCTCATCGCTGCTGATCACAACGTCGTCGTCCAATTCATAAATTATGTCGCCCACACCACCTTTTCTTTTGGACATAATGCTTAATAAATTTTATGTACATTCAACTTGTACTATGGAAAAATAGCGTGGCTTTCTGGAAAATGAAAGAAAATGCGAAAAATAAACACAAGGAACCGCGATTTCCTAAACTAATTTTGACGTTTTACTTTTTTATTGCCATTTTTTTAATTTTTTTTTTTAATTTATTAAGGCTTTGGCAAAGCCATCAGCCTAAACATGAAGTTTAAATATGTTTCTGTAAATATGGCAGCCACAAAGAGGATAGGCGATTTGAGGCGGCGTGCTAGGATTGACTCGGGATTCCTTAAAACGGGCCGATACGGGTATTTTATTTCGAGATTCGTATAATTTCGCGTTTTAATCTTAGATTAAGGCACAATAGCACTATCCTATTCCACTTTAAACTAGATTTCACAAAATAATTGAAAGTCAAAATAAAAACGACACTTTTCCCTCCAAAAGGTCCAGAGCGAATCCCATTTTTTTAATTTATAAGTTTGTTTTCATTTACACCAAAAACCGAATAAACTGTGTAATAAAGGCCTATTCGTAAGATGAGAGCTTAATGGACTTGTGGGGGATTATAATGAGACTCTCAAAAGCAGTAATATTCAGCGATTCACGCAGCGCTTTACAGGCTTTAACGCGGTTTAGACATGGGGAAAAGCATTACATTTCTATCACCGTGACTATCGTTCAAGTTAGAAAAAAAAAACAGTGACAAATCACCGTGATTTTGTCTGTCACTTACATTAGACTTGTGTCAGACCGGTCCCTATCGGGAGCTTAGAGGATGGAAAAAAATCCATAGTCTAAGATCGGGAGCGATCCTAGTTAGTTCAATCGACCGATTGAACTGAACCAGGTCGGTCTTCTAGTTCATTTAGTTCATCTAGTTCCATAATTAGTGTAGTTCGTTTTGTCCTTACTCGGACATTTAACGAACGCTCCAAACTAGTAATTTTATTCACATGAACTACTACGGACTTTTAGTATTATGAGGTCAATACTACACTGTACTAATTATTTAATACAATTTGTATGGAATCGATACTGTTTGATTTTCCTTCATATTTTACAGGTTTAAAGACTGTCATTCTTACTAAATATCCTTTTTTTTTTCAAAATAAGAATTTTAGTTAGAATGCTGTATTTAAAAATCAATATTTAGGTACAACATTACATATACTGGTACACGTAGGTTGATATTATACATACAGATATCTACCAAAAAATATTTCTTTTTTGCAAGCTTGTATATATATATGTATATAATGTAGATACGTATTAGAGACTTAAGAACAAACTGGGAACGTTCATCGTGCATCCCACTCGAACTTGTTCTAAAAGTTGTGAAAGATCGCTATTTGTCCCGCTCGCACCGTTCCTACTATATAAAAGACAGGTGAACTATCAACGCAGACAGTTCCTAGTTCGTACTGAACTAAAAAGAACGATGAACTATTAAAACTGTGCAAGACGAACTAGTCTGTAGGGAATATATTCTACAAAACTAATTGCAGCATTAGATAGATGCCAGTTGAATATTAGAGACTCCGTTTATATTCTTCAAGCCACTGTAGAAGCGCCAGGTCTCAGCATAGACGAAGAAACAACAAATAAATCGTCAATTTAAAGGGTTCGATTTCAAATGAGGAAAGAAAGGGTACTAGCGATAAAGGCGGATTTTGAAGATCATGTGTCCGAAGTAGTAACTATTCACTGGGTCGAGAAACTGTTGCCTGGAATAAATGTCAGGACTTCTAAAGAAGAGAGGTTACCAATGCTGATTTCTTTCAACGATAAAAACAACTCCTTCCTGTCCCAAAACTGGATAGCTCTTCTGGCAAAGATCAAGCCAACGCAATTTGAAATGCATTTAGTGATTGAAACTTGAATGACCAGGTGCAAATAATGTGTTGCGACACTACAGCCTCTAGTGCTAGCCGTTTTAGTTGAGCATGCGCTCTGATAGAACAAAAGCTAGAAAGGGATCTATTAGTGTTTGCTTGTCGCCATCATATTTATGAACTTGTTTTAAAAAGTGTGTTTGAAGCAAAAAATACCCCAAAGTTACTAAAAGCCCTGATATTCCGCTATTCAAAAAACTCAGAGATAATTGGATTAATATTGACTGTACTAATATTCAATCTATCCTCGAATTTGTGAAACAACATATTGACGTAGAAATCGCTCAATTAGTGTTGTTTTTTATGCATAAATTACAAGAGCCCATTGTGAGAGATGACTACCGCGAACTGATCGAGTTGGATCTCCATGCTTTTGTGTAGTGATGAGGATAAATACCTAAAACTAAGACCTCCTGGTGCTATGCATCAAGCGCGGTGGATGGCCAGAGCTATTTACTCATTGAAAATATATATTTTTTATGTTTTTGAAAACAAGTTTTGCCAACACTTGTGGTATTTGTCAGAAGAAATAGCAATATTATCGATTTTTGATGATTCGGTAGATGATGAAACCAAGAAGCGAATTGTGACTAATTTAGAAGGGAAAAGTTCATGCCATCCACACAGAAGATACATTCCATCTAAAGAAGAAATAGCGAGATCTTTATATGGTACGAAAATCATCTGTTCTATTAATGTACTATTGTGACTGTGATAATATTTTATTATTTCTAATATAATGCATTTATTGTTCTAGATAAAACTTTGAATCTGTGTCTACCTCGAGCAAGAATATATTGGTGTAACGGGCTGGTCCGCAATTCGACGTCAAGGCGCCTATTTTACGTGTGAAGAATATATTTTCAAGATTAAAGATTGAAACCAGTTTCCTTGAAGATGACGTCTCATCATGGAAAGAAAATGCTGTTTTCACGGAGGCAAAAGGAAAAGTTAACTAACTTAAAGTTGTCAACGACATTGCAGAAAGAGCTGTGAAATGGCTGTGAAACTCATTTAAGATTTTCTTGGCAAAATAACAGCAAACGAAGAAAAGAAGCAATTCCTTTTACGCTGTGTTCAGGAACACGGAACACTGTATCCTAATTGCAAAAAGAAGACGCTAAAAAGAACATACCCTACTTAACTTTTCTAAGCTTCTAATTTTCAATTTGTTTTGGAATTATTCATAAAATATTTTTGTTCTTTTTACCTAAGAGTAACAAAATATTTTGAACTACCGTCATCTAGATATGATAGAGTACAGATAAATTTCTTATATTTTGGAGCCTCGTCGGCACGTGTTAAAATCGTAGTACACTATGCGTACAGGGATCAAATTTCGTTTCTGAATTGGTCGATACTGACTATAAAAAAGTTGAAAAGTATGCATTAATAAATTGGGAATTTTTTTTTATTGATAATGTAAGGGCCTAGAGGATGGAAAAAAAATCCACCCCACTTTATACGTATGAATGGGACTCAAAACAGTCTGAAAAATAAAATGGCGGGTTTTTGAAGTTGCGAGTACAGTTTTTACAAAGATTATTTTCATTTTAAGTATATTTTGAAGAAAAAACGAAGAAAGAAATAGTTATGAAGAAAGTTAGAAGTATCTTCCGTATTTTTAACCAAATTACAAAAGACTTTATCCTGAAAATTCCACTAATTACGAATTCAAAGTTACTGTAAAGTGAAAGCAAAACATAAATGTTGACTCCCGCCGCTTAAAAGACTATTTAATAAACCCAAATAAGTGACCTAAGTTATTTGAGAGAAAATGAAAATATAATGTATTAGAATTTAGAATGTAGTTTTATGGCAAATATTACTGAGGATCCACCTATATACTAAATCTATGGAGGATCCCGATAATTAAACGAAGTTATGGCTCAAAAGACTTATATCCAAGCCAAAACTATTAATAAAAAAGGGACTCGAAACATTACCTACCTGTGGCAACTCTTGTCATATGTCAAAATTGTCAAATTAAAAAGATTGAGGTTATTTTGTAATTGTAATAGCAGGTCTTCAATGAAAGTATGTCTTTATTTATAAAATTTGCCCAAAATAATACAAGAAATGTGATAATAAGACACAAAGAAGCACAGGTGCTCTTTGTTTCATGTAGGAAACTGAGCATTGTTCCTTCAGTGTATGGTAAGTACAAGTAAAGTTCAGTCGCTTTTTTAATGTCGTAGTTACTTTTTTCTTTAGTCGTCATTTTCTTATTATTGCAGATGGAGAACAAGACCCTGCTCCTAAATTCTTCTCTTCACAAGTTCAAGTGTTGCTAAAACGCTTGACACGGCCAGATTTTTCCAAAGTATTTAGAAAACGGACAAGCAGCGGTCTGCAAATACTAAAGACACCGACATACAAATTCTTAACAAATGAGGAACTCGAAACAGAAATCGCGAGGGCCAAGAGGAAAGCCAACCATCTATTACAGATGCCTCCAGTTGTGAAGGTAAAATTCTTTTTATTCATGAGAAACTCAAGACAATGCTTACCTACCTAGAACCATACTAAACTTATAGCTACGGAATCGCAAGACGCGTGTCTCAGTAGGGGTTTTTGTCCTTCTATTTAATAAAACAAAACTGCGCAATAAAATAGTTACGAGGGCCAACGGCTAGCTCAGTTACATACAAATGACTTGGTTCGGCCTCACATAGACAATCCGATCCGTGTTTACTTATTTACTGCCCTGATGCCGTGCCTGTCGTGCCTGTAGAAGATGGACTCTTAGCGGTGGGGAAATGCCGGGTCGTTACAGTCGCTTGCCTGCTCGAAGATGGTACTAAGCCAAAAGCAAAGCGGAGGCAACAGTTTGAAATCCAGACTTTGGACCCCGGAACTTGCTGTTAAACAAAAAACCATTACACACAGTTCCAGAAAATGCTGTGAGTAGCCATGGCAACAGCAGAAAGGAAAAGTACTTATGTAGTTGTGTTGCCGAGATTGTTTACAATCAGACACAAAGTTTCAATATAACTATAAAGTAAAGCGTTAAGGAATTTTGTGCAAATGTGAGGGTGGACTGGAATATTAAGTAATAATTATTCAACAGATTCAAGCACAATCAATAATTTATCTTTTGCAACATAAATCTATATTATCATAATCATAATTGAGATGCATTTACGGGTAACACAAATAAAAATAATCATGATGTTACAACTGCAACTTCTGAAGCATTGCAAATATGTAACAAATTGGTACATAATTTGTCTAAAGCTCAGCCTAGCAACAAGCAACATCAATACCACTTACCAAACTGGGATTGCACTTATGCACTAATAAGATATTTTAAATATTGATGATATTTTCGAAGAACGTACAGTGACGAACATCAAAATACGGTTACGGTTTAAAATACGTAGCAGCGACCGATATTACTAGTGACGTGCGTTCTCTCGAGAGCTGTTGGATCGTCTGCCGTGGCGGCAATAAGCCGGCGGCGGCGCGGGCGCAGCCAACGTGACGTCAATGCCGAACAAAAGAACAGGTTATCGTCGGCGCTAAGACGGCGCTCAGGGTGACTAAAATTGTTGTATTGAACGCATGATGATGGGAACCTCTGCCTACTACCCCGATTTCAATTTAATAAGTATGTAACGAAAACACGTGTACGAAAAAAACGTTGAGCGTCGTTGGTCCGAGCAGAAAGTGAAATGCGCACGTCTTTTTGCTCCTATTATAAGTACATGAAGCCTTTTGCTGACTGGCTATTGTCAATTCAGCATTTAAGTATGGTGATTTTAGTATGGCTGTATGGCCTCTGCCTGTACTCCTGTATTGTAGTTCTGTCACTATACTAAACACACTTGACTTTACTGTAGTCTTATACACAAACCATATAAACACAGTAAACATTTAAATAATGCAGTTGCATAAAATATATTTCACGGAAAGGTGCATGTCATCCACATGGGGTAAGTTTCAACTGCACTATCCCACACATCCAACATAATCATAAAAAAACTTAGCCTCTAAATTGAATATTCAAATAAGTAGTAAACCATGCTAAGTGCCATTAACCATGTCAATAGTTATCATTCACCATTTCCACTTGTAAAATGTTAATTGTGAAGTTGATACTATCTAATGTTCCAAGTAATGTGTGAAAGTTTTATTGTTAGCAAATAGTAGATGAAGTGACCTTCACAGACAGATCACCTCAGGGGTTGTAAAATTTTTAAATAGCTTGTTATTAATAAAACATATTAATTAAATATTTTTCCTTTATTTTTTAAAGAATATATCGACCCCTCCTACGTAAAGTATCGTATGTCGAAATTGCCAAGTTTACAGGGAAGTGTTTTAAAGTTTTGAATCCACTGAAAGGAACATAACAGGTGACTTTAGCATTTTTCAGTTTTATTCGGCAAACGGTTACTCACACAGAGTATTGTAAAATCCTACATATCGGTTAGATGATCTATAAGATTAGCTTTGTCTTGTTATGCTCGTTTCAGTAAATTCAGAACTTTAAAATGCTTCCCTGTAAACTTGGCAATTTCGACATACGATACTTTACATAGGAGGTGTCGATATAAAACACGTAATAATAACGACTTTGGAATGACAGTCAGGTCAATGACCACTAGTGACATGCCAAATGGCACAAATTATAACAATGACTACTTTTTTGATTTTCCATATGCTGATACCTATTATAAGTAGCAGTAGAGTTTCTTGTGCTCCTTGTGAGTTCATCCAGGGAAGTCCACCTTACCTTACCTATTTCTGACGTCACACTGTAATGCGAGCATTACTCTGTTCCAGTTTTGAAGGCTAAGTAAGGGTGCTAGTAAAAATACAGACATGTAAGTTGTCAACTTATGTCTCAGAGTGATGGGCACAGAGACAGTGCCCCTCAGATCTTTGCAATTTAAAGCTCTGAGTCACACTGCACTGCAACTACTATTGACAGGCATGTCACTTACCACCATGCATACAACTTTTTCATCCTGTCACTGGTATCACTAAAAACTTTTTGATATAAATGAATTAATTCATATCTTTCAGATCCACAAACCAATAAATGATGTTCTATCCCAAGACCCTGCTCTGATTGGCTATGACACATCTACTTATTTGTTCACTGATATCTCATTTGGTGTTGACAATGCTCATAGAATTATTGTACAGAGGTATGTAATATTCAAATTCATAGATTACTCTCACAGGAAATAAAATCAGGCAGCTAATAGAATAAGTATGGTTGCACTATTTAAAATCCAAGCTTCAAAATACTGACAGTATATTTTAACATTGAATTATAATAATTATCATGATATAAATAATATGAAATTTTCTGAAATTACTCCACTAATTTCTTCTAATTATTAATACAATGATTGAAGAAAAAGAAAAAGTCCTTCAATCTGACAAGACTGGTACCTGCCAAATTAGGGCCAGTCCTCTCCCAAGTGAGGTACAGATTGAGTCAGCAGACCTTACGAATGTCTCCAAGTGTTTGTTACAAATCTTTTATATAGGGGTTATTTGGCTTTTATCACCTATAAACAACACTTGTGAGAAATCTATAAGTATGAAGTAGTATAAAGCATTTTATTTATATGCACAGCAAATCAATTTTTTCACCAGAAACTAAATTTATACGAATTAATGTATGTTTGTCCCATGAAAACTTTCACGAGTTATTGTGCCCACACCCCTGCAGAAGTGTCATTAGTATTAGATCCCATTGCTGGGTACATGTCTCGTCTAATAAAAGGGTTATAGTCTACCAAACTAGCCCAATAGAGCCTGAGAATTAAACGTGATTTGAGTAGCATTGCATCGCATGGCAGGGAATCTACTCCCATTCTCCGTCCAACACCCGTCCAAAACAATTACTATCAAATAAGTACTACTCAACCAAATTAAAACACAATGTGAAGTATGGAGCTTCATTCTTATCATGCGTTTTTTAATTTCATTGTGTATTATTTATTTGACAATAACTGTTTTGGACAGATGTTGGACGGAGAATGGAAGTAGACCCCCTGGTGTAGCCAGTAAAATTACAAAAATGACAAAGAAACCAGTTTTAAAATTATTTTGGTTGTTGACTATGTCCCCTGTGATTTTATACTATGAATTTCAGCTTACTTCATGCATGAAATAAAGCACCCATACTAAAAGCAAGCTTTGTATGTGATGAAATTTACATAACTAAATTGAATTGCTTGAAAACATTTCAAATTTTTTCAAATGTGATGGTTATTATATAGACTTACTATTACTTAGTTTACCAGTCAAGTAAAAATTGCTGAAACCAGCATGTTGAAGAAGGGTTATAAACCTCGTAGATCCCCTTCCAGCATCTTGGAGTCAACTGTAGTACGATGGACCATAAATCCCTTTCTCTAGAGTTGATTGTTTAGTTATACGGATGATTATTTATTATTTTGAATTTCCAGAGATCTAGACGGTATACTTCGCAAGTCTGACAATGATATCAGGAAAAGACTGAATCAGGTAATGCTAAATTAGAAGTACATTTGCAGCTTTAATCTGCAATTGCTACTGTCGACTATACCTACGTACAATTAGGGATAAGTGCAAACATCAGGGGCGCCTTCAAATTACACGTTTGTAGATGCGCTGTAGTGACGCATCTGTAACGTTTCAGTCATTTTTAGTTCACTAACTGTGATTGCAAAAGTGGCGCAAGCGTGTCATTGTGGCGCTAAATGTTGTATGAAAATTAGTAGTGACGCGGCCACAGTGGTGTCACAGTAGCGCTTCTAGAATTTATTTTATCTTAGGTAATTTTCAAAAATTAATTAAGAAAAAAAAATATAGATACTGGTTGAGCGGTTTAGTTCTGTAATGTCGTGTCAACTATGTTACTGACCTAATCTTGCCACCAATCCTGCAGGAATCTCTGTATCTTCTTGCGGTTGGCGAAAACTGCTCTGTGCATCGAGGTGTTCAGTTCATAGTATTCCAAGTTTAAATATTCTAACACAGCATGCGTAGTTGTTTCCACGTGCACAGGAGACTATCTGTGATGCCTAACTGTAATAGGTTTTTACTAAAGATAAAGGCACCAGTGACAGCTCAGAGGTATATTATAATGTGTAGTGTTACCGAGGTAGAGGACCAAGATTAATATTATAAAATTCACCCCGGAATTCCTCATTAACGAATTAGATCAATTTAAAATTTGATTGATGTATTTTAAGGTATATTTCCCAATAAAAGGACGCAAAATACGAGAGCCACTGATGTTTTCGGATGCAGAGAAATTCAACAACCTATTGGACAGAGAGCAATATGAATTCGTTCTAGACAGAGCCTGTATCCAATATGAACCCGATGAGCCGAAGTACCAGGAAATCACGAGCACAACATACCAGCATGTGGATATGATGAATAAATACAAATTACTAAGGTACTTACTCATACATTTTCTTTTTAAATACAACGTGACGGGATGAACACGTCGTGCGCGTGGTGGTAAGCGGTACGCCTATCCATAACAGTTGCAGTGCCTTTAAATCATGACACATAAGTTGACAAGTCCCATGTGCCTGAATTTTCACCAGCACCCTTACCCTTCTAAACCGAAGGCAGTAATCTTCTCATTTTTTGGTGAAATTACAAGCACATGGAACTTGTCAACTTATGTCTCAGCGCGCGCCGTAGTACATTAGGTACTGCTTTCCTTGTCATAACCAATGTTCGGAAACATACACATAGATACACAAACACATATATGACATGTGTTTGTGTATGACAGCCGTCCGCTAAGGGCGCGTTCCCACTATGTCGTGACGACAGATTGTCGTGCGTTTTACAGTGTCGTGGCTTGTATATTTAAATGAAGTTGTTCACATATAGCACGACACGATTAACTGTCGTTCACGATTTTTTATCGTTACAACGACAAACTGTCGTCACAGTGGGAACAGCTAGAACGACAGTCGTCAGACGATAAAAAAACGTCACGATAAAAACGTGACGACAGATTGTCGCAGCTCCTATTGTCGTCACGATCTAGTGGAAACAGTTAGATACGACAGTCGTTCAACGATAAAAAATCGTCCACGACAGATAGTCGTGATATGGGAACAGGCTAGACACGACAGTCGTCCAACGATAATAAAACGTGACACCATAGTGGGAACGCACCCTAAAACGCGGCTAAGTGACAAAATATTTTTTTGACATATAAAAACCATAACCCAGTTTTAATAATAATAATAATCATCATTTATTTCAGGCATTTTGGCCCGTATTAATTGAATACAGTAATTACATTTAATGATTAATTACAAGTTGGTGAATAATAAAAACATAAAGACAAAAATAAAAATAATTTAAAATTCATTATCAATAAGTTAAAATTAAAACAATAAAAAGAATCCAAAATTAAATTAAATTAAATTAAATTAAACATTCAAATTGAATTGAAAAATTGAAAATTGAAAATTGAGTTTTAGACTATTGAAATTGTTTAATGTAATTTCAGCTGTGCATCGATAGGGTAAGTTCCAATAAGTCGAGCACGTTAACTAATTTTAACTATTTTTAAAAGAGGATTTCCTTGCATTAAACAGTGTGATGATAAATAAATAAAAGGAAACATGTAGCACTAGTGTTCTGTCCAGAAGCACTACAAACAAGATTCTTATGCCAAAACATGCTCAAGATTTCATCATGAAATCTTGAATTGAATGTTTTTCATCTTTTAACAAGCTCGGTCGTCCCAGCGATTAGCATTCTAGGCGATAAGGAAGCCCCGGGTTCAACTTCTAGAAGGACCAATGTGGGGAAAAAACTTTTCAAAATTATTTCCTAAATGTTCTGGATATAGCTGAGTCAATTTCGTTACTCTGGTACTCACATTACAGGGAATTCAAGATGATCATTTCATTTTCTTTACAGATCCACGCGTCACTTTGGTCCGCTAACATTTTATCTAACCTGGCATCAGAGCATAGACAACCTGATGCTTGAACTGCTGCAGAACAATGCAATCAGAGAGGTCGTACTCCTAATAGCGTTGAATCATGAGATTCATGGTCATGTCAAAGATGGAGAACTAGCACAGGAGTTGGTGAAACAGGTTAATTTGAAATTAAATTATACTAGTCACTTAGGAACTGACCAGTACATTAATACTGATCAGTTCCCCTTCCGTCACTTGATCTCATAAAAAAGTCCCAATTTATGTTTTGTTTGCAGATTCTACAAACACCAATACAACTAAAAAAACCTGATATTCTAGCTGAAGAAGACATCCAACTAGACAACAAATGCGTGGACATTGTAGCCAAATACATAATAAGTAATTCGTCAATGAAGAGTCAGCAAGAACTTGCTCTGCAAGGCTTCAGGGAAAGTTATCAGGAACTAGTGGATCTTAGCAGAGGCTTAAAGAAGGCACACGGAAACGCTTAGTGTTTTGTAGAATTGTAATAAACTGTTAGTTAAGCATTTTTATTGTTTTAATTTTGATAATATAAAGCGGTCCGGGAGCGAATCTGCGTAAAGCGTACCGGGGCGTGCCACATGGCGATCCTACGCGTGGTTCGCGGCGCGAAGGCGGCCGCTGTGACACTCATAAGCAACCACGTTTCATTTTCTACTTAGATTTTAAAGAAAGCACCATATCGCAGTAGGATAGTGTTCAAGAAAGAATTCTGCTTTTATTCGTGTCTCGGAAGCAACGCAAAATAAATTTCGGTCGAATTCATAGTGAAACTTAATGATAACACACTTATGAGCTTACGTACACGACGTATTTTATACGCGCCGAAAACTGGTCGCGTGTATGTATAGTGCATTTTGATCAAATTTAAACACGCGTATTCCATTCAATTAATCGATTCTAAATAGAATAATTTTTGTTCAAATATTTGTTGATTACAAGTAGTCTTAATATTAATATACTAGAAAAATACTAGAATAAGATAGTTTAGTTCTTTATTTTACTTAAAAAAAATCGGATTTTACTTTTTAATCGAGTTCAAATATTAAAATTATTGACCTTCCAGTAAAATGAGCTTTTTTTATTATTAACATCTTTTTGTAATAGAAGATCTTATTGATTAACTTAAATAATGAAAACGCACCTCAATATAATGAACTTACGACTGCCTTAATTAATTTTACTAAATGGTTTTCTGTTGGTAATTGATCAAATTGATATATACCAAGACAAACGAAAATGTTACTGCATGACAAAATATGGTAAAATCTTATTAATCAGAGGCGGTTTATTTTATGACGGCCTCGGGTGAAATTTTTGTCATTTGTTTATTATTTCTCGGATTTCTAACTCTGCTACTCTGCATATTTGGATAGCATCTTAGTGGAATAGACTAGACCACCTTCGTACTCCAAATAAACGAACTGATACATATGACCAAGTCCAGGTTTTTGTAAAAACAGCGCATTGTTAATACTTTGTATTATATAAATATAATATATTATATTATATATTTTGTTGTATTACTCGTACTACATATCCGGCAATGTATGTAATTATTTGCTCTAAAAATTATCGAAATTGCAGATACTACTGATAATGACACTACAAAACTGAAAAAAAAAACCGAAACTTTACTAAACGTTATAACAAAAGAGTTATAGAATATTTTTAAAATATTGCTAAGGTCATAATTTTCGTCCTTTTAACATAACAGTGTCGCCTAACGTAAACATCACTATGGGTCGTATTCCAGACCTCTACTCAATACTCAAGTCAGGACATGAGTATTGCAGTGAGCACTGAAAATCATAGTCAAGTCCTTGCCATTAGTAAATAATAATAATAAATAACGCACACACTCAACATATAATTAGGGTCGTATTTCCAGTGCTTCAAATCATACTCAAGTCCGCTCAAATCCTGACTTGAGCATTGAGTAGAGTTCTGGAATACGACCCTTAGAGCAGACTTTTGCCAGTAAACTGAAGTATACAGTTTTTTTTATAATATCAAGTGACGGGACGAACAAGTCGTGTGCCCGATGGTAAGCTACACGCCTGTCCATAACAGTCGCAGTGTCACTCAGAGCTTTAAATCGCAAAGATCTGAGGGGCACTGCCACTGCGCCTGTCACTCTGTTGAGCATTGAGTACAGTTCTGGAATACGACCCTAAATGTTAAATTTGGCCAAAGAAATGTACAAGCGGCCGTACCACGAAACTGAATGCATTATACAAAAGTGCGTTCGTTCGATATTCATGGCGTATTAACAAAGGATCACAAATATATCGCACCAAGTAAAAGCCGCAATGCATTACAAAATATCATAGGCATACACTCGGTTGCATATTTGTTTTCTCGAAATTCATACAAAACCAAAATGATTGTTTTTAAAATAAATTATGCATCTTCTGATTACAAAATCACTTGCCTGTGGAAGGAAACGTCCGTGTTTACCCGTTTACCCACAATTATGGTGCCTTTGCAGTTTATAATGGCACAATTATGTATTTTTCGCGTTTTCGACTGGTATTTATCTACGATAACAGTCGAGCGCGTTCTGAAGTGTAGCAGCGGCAAGTAAGTGAATTTCACTTACTTTGGGCTTGCGGCGTCTATCTAGATATATGTCTGTGGTCAGAAACCTTAGTTGAGGTACAGAGTCAAGGGCACGTCAAGCTTGACACTTAAGATTGAAATCCAACTCTATGCCGCTTACGATAAGAACGATCCAAACTCAGATTACAAAACATAGTTTGTAATCTGAGCATTGGCTTACATGAATCCGAGGGTCCAAAATTCAAAGTGTCAAGCTAGACGTGCTCTTGACTGTACATACTTACTTACCATAGATAATGTGCTGTTGAGAGCTCTGCTGCCTGATTTTTTTTTCCATCCTCTAAGGCCAAGGGCCTGATTGGTTTTATCTTCTGTCAGTTCAAGTTATTAATGTCAGTGTCTATTTTAGATGAATTTTTAATTTATTTTATTTAGTAATAACTAACATAATTAAAATTACGCTCGATTACCTACGCATTAAATTAGCAGTTCATATATTTTGATTATGCCGTTTTATAGACGACCACGTAACTTTACACCTTTATCAACTCTAGCTGAAAAACGGTCGCATAAAAATGGTGTTCACCACGCTATTTTTACTGCTAGATTCGATAGGTACGTTGGCGATTGGCAAAAGGACTTGAAACACGGTGATTAAATTTTTTTATAATTTGTAATTCTTCCAAATACTTAATGGTAATAATCTGCTACGCACGCCGCTATTTGCACGATGTGCGGACATACGGCAGCACATAGATGGATCTTATTCCGTTGAACTGGAGGCGATATTCAATATAAAAGTCTATAGTTTGATGTGCTGTTGACTGTACAATCAACATGAAAATAATTAAGAGGGTTCAACAATTTGTAAACATCAATAATGAATTAAAGGCGCACTTTCAATTATAACTAAAACTCGTCTGAACCGAAAATGGACGTTAACTGTTTGAGGCAAAGTAGATTTTTACTAAATGTCCAAATATTTCCACATTGAACGCCAAGGCCATATTGATGCTGTCTGTACATAAATTATTTTCTTTTTCAAAACAATTTCGCTTTTGTTGTTACATTTGACTTAGGTCATTATAATGTCTATTTTTAAGTTAGTTAACGTAACGTAGTGACGTTAAATTATTACTTAACGTACGACAATCACCTTGAAAATGAACTCTTATTTCTAAATACCATCGCACACCGGCTTATTACTGGCACAACTCAACAATGTAGAAATTGTGACGGTATCTAAAACGAGTCCGTTATATTTTCGAATAAATTTGGTCAGTCGTGAAATATTACATTAGCTTTTCAATTGTTTACTGTTTCAAATTGTTTACCGGAAAGCAGTGAAATAACTGCACGGTCGCGTATCAAAATCGTTATACTGGTAATATTTTACTGTTATTATTTATAATATTGTCACTGTTAAAACCCGGTATACTACACTTAGCGTCGTATTCCAGAACTCTACTCAATGCTCAAGTCAGGATTTGAGTATGATTCAAAGCACTCGGAATCATACTCAAGTCCCTGCCATTAGGGACGTATTTCCAGCGCTTGTGTTTCCAGTGTAATCCATAATAAAGTAGAAAAAATAAAGTAGAAGAAAAAAATAAAGTAGAGTTCTGGAATGCGACCCTTAGGGTCGTATTCTGGAACTCTACTCAATGCTCAAGTCAGGATTACACTGGAAATACGTCCCTAATGGCAGGGACTTGAGTATGATTTCGAGTGCTTTAAACCATACTCAAATCCTGACTTGAGTATTGAGTAGAGTTCTATAATACGACCCTTCGATTTGTTGTTGATCTACGTAAGTTCGTCAGGATTTTCTGATTTTATTAATTATTTTTTCTAGGCAAAGGTGTATTCTTAACAAATGGCTATGATGGCGGTAGGCTGTACGAAGGTGATTGGTACCAAGGATTTAGGTAAAAATGGTCTTTGTTTACAAGTCAATGCTTGTACATTTCCTTATTTTTTGTTTAATATATGACTACTTTTTATCCGACTTCAAAAAAAGAGGACGTTCTCAATTCGAACTCGATTACTCCGACATTTGTGAACCGATTTTGACGATTCTTTTTTGTTGGAAAGGTGGTAACTCAGTAGTTCTTCCATTCAAATTTAAAGAAAATATTCCATTTCCAAGGGTGGCAAATTAGAAGATGAAATCGGCTTATTAGATTTCTCCCACACTCGACTTCAATAAAACTTGGCAAATACATGTAATTCCACAAACTTTTGAGGTCGCGATTATTATTACTAATCTTCTAATACTATGTTCCCAATATTCTTCTTAACAATTGGGACTATATTTAACTTAAAATTTTGTTATCATAGACATGGCAACGGCACTTTAAGCTACCGTCAAGAAAACGGCGTCTTCAAACTGCAATACAGCGGTGACTGGGTGCGAGGCAAACCCGAGGGTATTGGCCGATGGTGGTACGAAAATGGTGACGTGTATTTTGGTTTTTGGAATAAAGGCAAAAGACATGGTTTTGGCAAAATGTGGTACGCGGATGACACATATTTTGTTGGATACTGGGCTAAGGGAGACAAAAACGGACCTGGCATGTTTGTATACCGTAAGTAACCAAGGCTAGAAGGCAAGACCTAAAATCAAAATAATCTTTATTTCATAGGTAAGGATTATTACACTTGAAATCGTCACATTGGTTAAACTGTACCGCCCATTAATATGGCAGATTCCCCTGAGAAGAATGTACAAGAAACTCTAGGGGTTGCCCTTTGTAAATAATATTTGTACATAGTCAACATTTACAATATAGGTATAAAATAAACCTAAGGTCTCTAAAGTTTTGTAGCATCATAAAAACTTCACGCTTAATAGACAAGTAAATCATTATAAAGTGTACAAGCTCTACCTGTGACTGTTGATAGGTAGATGATATATATTTAATCGCTTTAATTTAATTACCACATATTGTATTTTGTACCTTAACCTTTTAATTAACTTGTCTTTGAATTTTACTCGGAATATTTGCATTAATTTCAAAGTTATTACTTGTTACGGTAGCCATAATTTATGGTACCAAATAGGGCTTCCTAATGAGATTAGATATAAATATTACAAACAGCTAACCTTGACGATATTAGATAGATTAATGTCATTCATTACAATACCGAAAACCGACTGCAATAGAGTCAGAATCTTTAGTATTGGATTATATATAAGTTTGAATATAGGCCTTCCTTCAAATGGGACCTCTGCTTGGCAGTCGGGCGTGGTAACCGTTCGGCCACAGAGGCAGTTATATTAATTATAATATTAATTAGATTCAACATTATTCTGTAATCAGTCTGACCAAAAAATCATTTTTCTTTGCCTTACAAATATAAGTAACTTCATTATCTGTTGTGTATTGGGTGACACTAGTTAACGTTAGAAATAATCAATGAGTTTCGACCTACATTGAATATTTAAAGTTGATGAGTGGGAAGTTGTGGTGTGGAAGTACTAACTGCTCGGCTTTGTTTATCAATAGCTGATTTCGTTTTGCTTCATACCGGGGACCGGCCTAAGCGGGAGAAAGAATCGCGAACTCAACACGCACGGACTGGTAATTTCACAACCAAGATACAATTCAGAACCAAGTGCTCTAATAATAATTCTATTTAAGCTACTTGTTAATAATACGAGGGATGTGCTATGTTGAAAATCACGTCGATATAGTCCATCACAGTGTTTCTAACAGTAACGATCAAACTAGCGACTCATCCGCAATTGATAGATTTAACAAAATGATAAAATGTTAGAATCTCCACATTTTCCTCACATAGCGCCAATCCCCACAAAATCCCCAATCTAGTTGAAACTCCCCACAATTTGGGGAATTCCCCACAAATTGGCAACCCTGGATACAATAGTCGTAATTCGCGCTCGGGCCGGTCATGGCCGGCATTTGTTTGTTGACAAATAAATAAACATTGTGAAGTAATTCCGTTTTGTGAAATGATAAAAATAATTGAAATGAGCGCGTAAACTACTGTACTTCAATGTTGTGTATGTGTATTGTGCTGTCTATCAATAGAATACAGTGAAATCATTGCGTGAAATGTGGTTGGAGTGAAGAAATAACCTCAAATTTATAATAAAAATTTTATTTCTTCCAACATAAATTAGGTATATCATTAAAATGTTCCTTGTAATGTATCCACCTTTCTAGTCATACATAACACATTCCATATAATTATACAGAATAACGTTTTTTTGTGACAAATTGGATTTCTCAATTTTTTTTTGAGCTAGTGTTTTGAAAAGTTTTTTATTGCATAATACGCTCAATATTTATAAAGGTTTATAAAGGTTTTGTAACACTGTCAAAAGCAAAAATCGCTTAGAAACATCGCATTTCGTAGACAATCATAAATCTTCGATTAAGGCACAATAGCACTATCCTATTCCACTTTAAACTAGAATTCACAAAATAATTGAAAGACAAAATAAAAACGACGCTTTTCCCTCCAAAAGGTCCAGAGCGAATCCTAAAGATTTTCTATAGATAAAGCTATAGACTAAATACTCCCAACTGTGTTTTGAAAAAAGCTTTAGATTCTTATCGCCATTTTTATTTTTAAAGAATGACTATGAAGTAGCCGAGAAAAATTTCTTTTCTTTTTAAAAAGTAAATCTAAGTTGAAATTAGCTTGAAAAAGCCTAGAACTTCTTGGAAATGGTTTGTTTTGTGAGTTATTTTGTATATTTAAGCTTTCTATAAATATTTAAAACCGAAAGTCGACAACTGTATTTTAATTAACTTTATATTTAATACATAAATATTTAAAATTTAGCGAGCGCATTACTTTTATGGCAGGTTTTACATCACTTTTCACAATGTATTTAAAGTCGCACGTCAATTTGCGCTTTCTAACCGATTAAACATTGCGCGAAAAAGTCAGAAATATTATATCTAATTACGCCATGTTGCAATTTTGAAAGTTTATATTTTGTAAGCCATTAAACTTGAAATAAGTATATTAGTATTAAGAGAATTACGGTTTACGTTTGTAACGCTTTAGTTATTTTGGTTTTAAAATAGCATTACCAAGAAAACTATCATAGACTATAAATTATCTAAAAACTGTCTACAAGACTAAATAAAAACTGTCTACATTCTGCAAATGGTCTTGTAGCATTCTAGAAGGGTTACTTGAGAAAAAAAGATAAGAATCACTCTTAACACTACCTACAGATAGTTTCTCAAAGCACTCTTGTGACCTACAAATAAAGTTGTGCCCACTTTTACTTTAAATTATCTAGAAACCTTCTTCGAGATATCTTGAGGGAATTTGAACTCTTAAAATATTCAATCGAATTAAATTCTATTAGATATCTTTAAGTATATATTTAGATATGGGTGTGCTGCTTGGGCACCTGATGGTAAGTTACGATGCAATTGAATATTGAACATGCTTGCCTAGAATGTCTTACCTTGTACAGGCCCATGTTATATTTATCGAGGAACAAATTACATGGCGAAGAACTCGTTTACAGTCCACATAAAGAAGGGGAAACCAAGTGATTTGCATGTCCCTAAACGCACGCAGTACATTTAGAAGGACGTGATCCCTGCTCACATCTGTTTTCCCAGACATGGAATGGAAAAGGCGGAATTAAATTGTGTTTTACACTCTCCGAAATGTGTTCGGTATAACACAGAAAAAAAACCCCGATGAAAACAGTGTAGTCCAAAAAGTCAGTAAGCAAACAACTCATCGTCACTAATGAATTCAATGAGCTCATACACAATCGCTCTACTGTATGTAGTTGAAGAGTTGGGTAGTCAGCAGGCTGTCCTGGTTGCAGGGTGGTGGTAACCATTATTATTTATTTATTGAAAGATACGCCGTCAAGTTGACACAAAGCAATCTTAGAAATAAATATACCTACATTATGGTCACCATACAAGGTGCCAAGTCGCTACAGGTGTATCAGCAATGAAATATTATTGTAATGTTATCGGATTTCCATACAAGAAATTTCAAGTCTATAGGGAGAAAATGGCGGGCTTTTGAAGTTATAACGCGCATAATAATAATAATAGTACATTGTATCCGAGCCAAAACTTTTATTAAAAAAAAAGTCGATCGAACAAGTGGAAGTAAAATAAATATTCATTATATGACTGAAATCCTATACTAACTGGAAAAGAGCTGATGATCTTTAAACGTGGAACAGATGTCTATCAAACATAGCCAAGAATCATCCCGTTTAAATTAATTCAAATTCAAAATTGCTCAGCATTGCATTTTTATTTTTTAACAAAAATTATTTCAGTATAGCACGAGAATACTGTGATGAACACTAATTTTTTCAAATTATACCTGTAGGTACAACTAAAACATTATTTTAGTTGTGCAAGTGTTGTACCTACATAATCATGTGACAACCCTACGCTCCGGGTCAAGTGTCAGGCATTTACGCGCCATACAGGAGTTGCCCTAATTTAATACTGTGTTAAATAGGTACTTAGTGATTTATATTTTTGTGAAATTACTTACCTCTCTATAAATATACAGTAACAGAAAACTAACTTACAAATTAAATATAGCTGGAAGATATTATGGTGTTGATAAAGATAATAATTTGTTTCACTATCTAACCACAGTCATCTAAACGGAAGTCATTAGGCATAAATTAATTCTCTATTTACAATCCTCTGCAGCTTAAACAACGAATGAACGCTAGTCGTGAAGGCATGTGATTGGTTTTAAAATAACTTCATACATGTCCACTCAGTTCAACTATACCGGCTATAATTTTATAGCAGGCAGTAAATTTAGACCCTATGTAAATACGGTAAGGTATAATTTACAACAAAAAGAATTTGGCTCGTTATATATTTTTAGGTGTGGCCTACCGTATTGATTTAGGTACACTCCCGGGTATATAATACGAGACACGTTGCGTTTATTTTTAAAGGGCTAGAATACATTATTGTTATACCTATCGAAAAAAGTTTTCCCCAGTTTACTAATTCAAATATTCGGTAAGGACACGTAGAAATGAGGTTTAGTACCTGTACCACAAGCTTCAATATTGCATTAATAGATTTTGATAAGCTAGCTTTATTTTGAGCATTTACCTAATACTGAAAATGCAAATGTCGTATTGTGTGTACGGCTGTGTACATTTTTATTACTTACCTGTTTCATGCCTCTGACTTGCTATAATACTATTTTCATGTTTAAAATGTGTAAGGCTAATTATTACGTTTTGCATAGAAATGTAAATAACGCAACAACACACTCATAGCCCCGAACTAAGGAAACCCTGTATCGCGGATGCCATTTACACACACATAAACATCGAGTGTATAACCAGAAATAGAGACAAAAATATAAGGGCCATCCATCCCTGGCAACGCATCAGGCAAATGGGCCATAAATCACTTGTAAATATCTACTCTCGTTTGTACTGAAATCACAAATTAGAAACCTGAAATAGTACAGCGCCAACGACAGACCTGTGTGTACGTCTCCGTATATTCCAAAAATATTCTGTATTTATTGTAATAAAGATAATATCTGTTCCATTCGGTGTTCTGTTCCAAACATCTGCGTACGACCAAGTCCAAACCGCTGGGTGTCTAATGTTTTGTTCACTCTGCTACTGAATGATCTTCAAGCGGCAGTTCCAGATGCCCATGTTTTAATGTATGCCGATGATGTTGCAGCGGTTGTGTGCGAATCATCCATCGATGAGTTAGAGCAAAAATTGAGCATAGTAGCATCAAAGATATTGAGCTGGTTTAGGATTAACGGTTTGATGCAAAACTTGACCGAGACCTGCTACTTACATATAAACCTCTCAGGTCGTAGTTACAGGTGTCTGAACGTCTTGGTAGAACAAACACCATTGGAGAAAGTCTCCAATAGTCTATTTTAGGGTTTCATCTGGATGAAACTATGACCTGCAACTGTCATGTTGATGTGCTGTGTAGTGAACTCGGCCGCGCATGCGTTGCTCTGCAGCGCCTGTCGTGACTCTGCCATGGTACATGATTAGGTCATGTGACTTCGCCACCGTGCACTCGCTCTTACAATATGGCGTCGAGTTCTGGGGATGCGCGGCTAACCATGTGCGTTCAGAATGCAGAAGCGGGGGGTGAGGGCAATTGCGCGTGTGGCACAGCATACGTCGGCTAAGCCTTACTTCGTACAGTACGGCATACTCACCTTGCCTGCTCTCGTGGCTTTCCAAGCGGCTGTCTACACTAGGGAACACCTGGAAACTTACACTAGACGAGGGGAAGGACATAAACATGAGCTACTTAATAAACACAGGGTTGCACCCGTATACATATTTTGTCCAAAACGGGCTAATTAATACCTGTCCCGACAGTATATGCCTGCTTATGGCTGCCTCTTGAAATTGTTGATTCTGCTTCGGAAAACTTATTTAGATGAAGAATAAAGCACTGGCTCGTCAAGAAATCAATTGAGGTATCACATTGGTTAATAATAGTAATATAATTAATTATAATTTAGAATGTGACTACAATAGTAATATAAGAAAATAATACGAATATAATTTATAATTTTTCATGACTTGTAAATGTTAATTTTTCCAATAAAGAATGTCTATATGTCTAATTACAAAACAATCGGAATCACATTTCATCAGTAATTAAATATTAAATATGTAATTTTCCAATATTCGTCTATTGTACCAGAGCTCAAGTTAAATTGGTCGATTTAAAGAGAAACAATTGACGACACCCGTCAATTGTTTCGAATTCGGGCTGACCAATCGGAGCGCTGTTGTCACCGTAATGATTTGGCAGAATAGTCTTCAAACACATTAAATGACATTTCGTCTCTATTTCGGATTATAGTATACTCGATGCACAACCACAAATTACACCCAAACTCACTAGAGAAATAAATGTAGGCCATACACATGGGTATTTCTCCCGGCCTGGGAATCGAATCCAGGACCTCTGCGTGGCAGTCCAATAAGGTAACCGTTCGGTTACGGAGGCAGTTAATACTAAATAAATTATTATAAATGTACATTACTAATTGTATGCGTGCCTACACAACAATTCACTGTTAATATAGCTTCAGGACTTTGGTTTTCGTATAAAACAAAATCATTTGATGTCGAAACAACTGGTTTATAAACAACAAAATGTAGAAAGTAAATTTTATATAGTAATTTTTATATCGATTTCCAGTCTTTTTTTAAATTCAATAATCGAAGAAGGAAAAAATAGTGACAACAAACTGTCCAATCAAAAAGCCAATCGGGGGTACTAGATTGAAATTTTTCTTTGCAGAAAATTCTCATTCGTAGAACTAAACTTGTCTAAGCTTTTGTTGCTCACTTATTTACAGAGAACAGTGACCGTTACGAAGGCAACTGGAAAAATGACGAAAAGAACGGCCTAGGACGGTATTACCATATGAACACCGGTCAGTTGCAGGAAGGTTGCTGGGTGAACAACATTTGTGTCAACTCCAAAATGAGCGACATCATCATACGACAGTTCTGCCAGAGACCTACCCCATATCCCATATTCAATGTAAATTTAGCTCTTAGTTTACAGCTACAATACCAAATAAGTGACTCTGGTATAACTAGAGTTTATTAGCTGACATGTCAACCGACGCATCGTTATCTTACGTCAAAAATGCTAGCCAACATAAGCATTATTGTTGGCTAACACGACCATACGGCTATCGTATTCGCTAATGATTGGTCTTAAAAGAAATATTTTGCTTTAATTTTCCACAATTTTAATAATTTAATTTTTTTTTCTACTACGTTGTCTCGTGTTCTGCAATGTTCCCTAGTTCTAAGATCTGCTTAATTCTGACTTTTAATCAACGGTTTTTGGAATATGGGGTGTCTTCGTCAGCTCAACAATGTAATGTTCCCAATACATTACAGATTGAGCTCCAAGATCCACGAGAACTCCTTGAAGAAAGTACATTATGGAAAAAACTAACACTAGGGGAGATAGACAAGAACTTGAAGACGTGTATCGATCAAATTTATTAATTTATTTCGATTAATTATACCAGATCTTTAAGTATACATTTAAGTATAAAATTCGACTTAACTTGGTGTTATTTTATTGCTTATTTTATACTTAAGTACCGTCATTTTCAATTTGAAACTGATACAAATTAAATTTACAATCATAGTATTTACTGCGAACTATAGGTTGCAATACGACAAGGTGTTTCAAATCATAACGGGTATATACTGTAAAATCTACATAAGAACATTTTAATGAATAAATTTTAAGAGTCTCATACACGGCACGTGTAGCGGCACAAAATTTACTTATCACAAAAAGTGGTAATGCCAACCGCGCACGGTAGAGTTTAATTTCCTAAACACAAAACAAGTAGATTGAATTAAAAATGGCGGTTCTAAATTCCTGCTACATTGAACAGTTTTTCAAAAATGTCATTTCAATATATCACAGAATTCTTAACTGAATTAAGTAACAATAGTACAGTAGTCAATATCTAGTTTATTGCTTCCGTTTCTTTGTTTATACATAATAAGAGAATAATCGAAAATCGGAAGAGGCTACGCTAAATGCGTGTGGTGTGACAGTCTCCACAGTCTTGTTGGCTAGATAAATCAAGGCAACACCATTGGGTTGTCATTATTACTAGGCGAACTGGTAGTTTTCACCTTGCTTATAATAACTTAGTACTTACGTATTACTAAAGGAACTGACACACCAAACGCAGCTGTTTCACCCGAAGGTGGTATGTCACGGTGCTGTTTTTATACAAATGTTTTTCGTACATCCGTGTTATATTACAGCAAATGAAACTCTAAGACTGCTCAAAACACATTATTAATATTAAGGTAGAACTTTAGATGCGAAAGTTTTGAATTTCGTATGAAAACAGGACCGTGACATGGATCATAAGGATTTAAGCACGCCCTCAGAGACGTTCCCTGAAATGTTGAGCAAAACCCACTCCTGTCTTGGTAGCTAATGTAATCCTGCTGATTGTATATTTGAAATTTTCCTACAAATATCGTTTAGCATCTCCCTTAATTTCAACGAGCTGGTCAGGCAGGGAATATTAAGTATATTTAATAATTCTTCGAAGGAAATACATATTTACAAATATGTAGTTTTTCCCAAATTTCAGTCCCAAAAAGATTAAACACACCCAGTCTAAATAATCATGACACTATTTTAATATTCCTAATGGTCTATATTAAGGTCACCATAATTACGACGTCCCAACGCAATAAATATGTATATTTTTAATGTTGCTAGATTGGAAACACGTATGGGACAATAAGTTAATTGCATTATTTTATTACGTCATTTAGAATCTTTGGAATATACAATGAAACGTTAACATTCAACGCTATGTACTATTAAAGAGCCTTCCATTAGCGGCTTAGGAGCGTTGTTATCGTGATAAGGGTTAAGCCGCCGGACGTCCGCGAATGTGAACGCATTCTAATATATTACTTCTTCATGTTTGTAGGACTTGAACTTATACGAATGTGGTACAAAATATTTTCTTTCATTGGTTAGAGTGAACTAGACGCGTTGCAATGGGCGTTACACGTGGATCAGTTTTATTATGATATCAAGCGACGGGACGGACAAGTCGACGGCCTGGTGGTAAGCGACACGTAAGACTGCTAACAGATTAACTGCATTTGCAATTATTGCGTGAAGTCGTAATCGTAATCAACTTCATGCAGCCGAGACCTCGTATGCATTAAGTTGATACCGACTGCATGAAGTTAATACCGACTGCAGTTAATGTGTGAAGACGCTATTCACTTCACGCCGTAGTGGTCTCGGCTGCATGAAGTTGATTACGACTTCACGCATTAACTGCAAATATGCGGCAGAAAATCTGTTAGCTAACAGTTGCAGCCAGTGCCGGCTTTACTTATGGTGCATGGTGGACGGCGTGTGCGCTTAAGAGATGCTGAGCGCTGCTTGCGACGTCTGCAAAGACTCTGCGTCCCTCTCAAACTGGCTATAATATTGTTTCCCAACATCGTTTACAATTGCACCATTTACACCTAAATTTCCGATCACTAGGGAAAATATAATAGAAAGTAGGTATTCCATTTTGATCGCGTGCCTAATAGAGGGCGTCAAGGTATTGATTGCGCCCGTGCGCTACATGAGCTAGGGCTGTTCACTGTACGCTGCCTCTCACAAGACAAGCAATTTCATAAATCATGATGTCGCGTAATGTTTATAATTATAAAGTCTGCCATGATAACACATTTTAAGTTAACAGTTTCATTTATAGAGATTCAAGTTTAATATTGTCATGCAAACTCAAACTCAAGGAGACATTGAATTTCACGGGTCTGTTCAAAAATAGAGATTTAAACTTTCCAAATACATCCATAATATAAATAAGAACTTTAGAGAGAACCAATTGCTAAATCATCAGGCCATATTCAAAGTTTTGTGCTTGGAAATTTTGCAAAGACAACTTTAGGACAATATAGAAAAATATGTGTATAAAACTAATTTAAGAACATGGATGACACTATTATGTCATTATATTGAAATTACGGGTTGGGAAATAAAAGAAATTGAGCAAAGAAGCCTCCAAATTCCGCAAATGACTCTACTCCAAATATATAATCAGTTTGTATTGGCACTGCTAATACACTTAATAAATACAGACTACCTATTTACATAATAACAAAATATATAGAGTTTAAATCTAAGGGCGGTAAAACATTAGAAATAAAAAAGACACACTTAAACTATTCGCCCTTGATCGAGTAAGGAATTATTCAACCGAGCGTGGTCGTCACCCATTTCAATTTGTTCTTTAAGTAATTCTAGTTCCTTTATACCTGTTCGTGTTACCTCATACTTATGCGTAGCAAGGGACATGTAGAAATGTACGGCGAAAGCTAGGAACACTATCATGACAGGAATGAGCACTACGCATGCTGAATAAGCCGCTGCTTCGCTGAAGTCGTAGAACTTGACCCAACAAAGTATGGCTATTTCAACTAGGAACAATATGAGGCCTAGTAAAGTAGAGAAAGCCCAGGCTATTTCAATGTACCAATGCAGTCTTTCGTGAGGCGATTCGTGGACTAGGGAGATGCTGTGGAGGTTACCAACGGCTTCGATATTGGGGAGGATACATGTACTGATCATCAGGGCTAGCATGTGGACAGCGACGAGAAGGGTTGTGCATACTGTGAATGCGACCAACATCTCCTTAGGCACGTTTGACTCGTCTGGTGGATTGAGCTGGACTTCGACCATTGCTACCTGTTGACAAGTGTACAAAAAAAATATTATTTTATATCAATGGCACGGTATAGTAAAGATGAGTCTGATAAATCCCTCTATGGAATCAAGCGGTATGATGATAAGCATTCCCATATTATTAAGATGGTCGTAGGTGATAGAGTGAAATACGTTGGTTTAAAGCATAGTGGTCTCTACCGCCCCCAGTGGGCCCTGAAGAGGTATTGGGGGGCGGTAGCATTGATGCTGTCCAGGGGGTGTTACCGCATTTGCAAACAAAAATCTGAATTATTTATATAAACTACACTACATAGATATCCTCCCGAACACATAATTCGTGCCACTTCGCATGTTTGTCGTAAAGTGCTTAGTGTTATCATCATATCATCGAAGAAAAAGTTTTCCCCCGGTTTTACAAATACAAATTCTCAACAAGCATTTATGAAAAAAACGTTTAGTATACTAGTTTCAATTGCATAATAGTTTTTGATCAATCAAACATTGTTTAAGCTTAGGGCACGTAATACTGAAAATGCGTGGTGGCTAGAATTACGTGTCCGGAAGTGTAAAATGTATGTATATAATTTTTTCTTGTCATTTTTTGTGTTAAGTTAATATAAAAAATACGTGTTTTCAATTATTTTTTGTAGTGGTGGGCGTTGATTTTTTTTTATCTTGACTAAGTGGGCGGGAACTTATAAAGTTTGGGAACCTATGGTTTAAAGGTATGTTTATTGTTTGGTCTCCAGAATATGAGTGTCAAAATAATACAATTTAAAATAAAACGTAAACTTAATTGCTAACAAATAATTAAAAATTGTTAGACTACAAACTTAGTCTTATCTGTACTACACTATGGGACCTGCAAAGATCGGGACGGTGATACGAGCGGAAGCGAAACTAGCATCGTCTTTTTCGCTCGTATCGCATGGACGTAAAGCTTTTTCCTGACCGTCTCAAATCGATTCCGCATTTGTAAGTGTGGCGACTTTAACAATAATGGTAGCCTTTATAATATATTACGAATAGTGATTTGGCCGAATACCGAATACCATATTCGTCCACGCTCCCGGCCGAAGCGCCGAAAGTTCGGCGTAAGATCTATGCATTTCACGCGCGATCTATAACGACCTGTTTCAGTGCGGAGGTGGTAAGGCGGTGGGGTGTTTTTGTTAAAAAATGATAAAACGGTAGAATCAATACATGACAGTTTTTGGACCTGTTGTAAAGTCGCTACAGATAATACGCAAAATGACGAGGACGTGGAGAAAAGTTCTATTTTTATTTGAAAACGTTCACCTAGATCGGACGGCAGATCCTTATCCATTGGTGGTCAGCAAACGCAAAGCAGTATCCAAACCTGTCAAAATTTGCTAAGATTTATCTATCGTCTTCTGGCAGTAGTGTTTATAGGCCAGGCTATTTTCAGAAGCAGGAATCGTTTATGAGAAAAAACGCAGTCGTTTGTTACCAACAAATGCTGAAAAAATTGTTATTCATCGGAACCTGCCACTGATTGATTTTAAGTATTAAAGCAATAATTTGTGATTACAATACATGATACATTTTGAATATGTGTTTTTTTTTCATTATTTGATATACATATGGTCGAATAGTCGTAGTATTCGGCCGAATACCGAATAGTAAAAAAATGGCCGAATACCTAATAGTAGCCGAATATTCGTGGCATCTCTAATCGATGCAGTCCTATAAATGTGAAAAATAATACTATAAAGATGATGTATATCACTTATTAAAAGTAGATAACGGAGATTATTTCTCAACAAAAAATTTCCAATAAAGTTAATCGAGGCTAAAATAATAAATAATTAGAAACAATAGTCAATAAATTAACGGTGTTTCGTGATAATCGATATTAATAATTTAATAGTCCTAACTGTTTTAATCATAATAATGCAGGTGTGCATCTGCCCCGTGTAATCTGTATATTTTTCAGTCTTTGCATTGAGCATACATTCTTACCAGAGCAAATGATGGAAACTGTTGTGGTACCTATTGTAAAAAGTAAGACTGGGGATACATCAGACATTAATAACTACAGACGAATTGCGCTTGCTACGGTTGTCGGTAAAATATTTGACAGTTTGCTTAATCATTAAGTGACATTACACGATGCTCAATTTGTTTTCGTAAAGGGTTGTCAACAGAGAGTGCTATTCTATGCCTCAAGCAAACTGTTGGGTATTATACCGATAGAAACACCCAAATTTATGCGTGCTTTCTCGACCTGTACAAAACTTTCGATTTAGTGTTATACAATTTATTGCGGGAAAAGTTGAGAGCAATGGGTGTGTCGGGGCAGCTCGTGCAGATTTTGCAGTTTTGGTACGGCAGTCAGACGAACTGTGTGCGCTGGGCTGATCAGTTGTCTGATATATATATATAGCCGTATAGGCTGAAATGTGGGGTGAGACAGGGAGGGCTGACATCTCCTTTATTGTTTAATGTTTATGTTGACGCACCGATTGGTGAGCTCAGCTGCTCACAAGTTGGTTGCTCTATAGATAATATATTTATAAACAATATAAGCTATGCAGATGATATGGTGATGCTGGCACCATCAATTAGTGCGTTAAGGAAACTTGTTAACGTCTGTGAGAGATATGCCCACTAAAAGTGAAGTTATAAAGTTCAAAGCGGGTAGAAAGTGTCCGGTAGATGTTCCGCCCATTAAGTTAAATGGCAAAGTTCTAAATAGGGTTGATCATTTTAAGTACTTAGATCACATTGTAACATCGGATCTAAGAAATTATACGGATGTTGATAGAGAGCGGAGAGCGTTGGCGGTTCGAGGGAACATGCTCGCTCGCTGGTTTGCTCGGTTTACAGACACTGTAAAAATCGCGCTTTTTAAAGCATATAGCCAAACATTTAAATGTGAAATACGCCCAACGGTCCGTAAGCGTCCTTCGCGTTCAATATAATAATGCTTTTAGAATGCTGATGGAGTTGCCACGTTTCTGCAGCACATCTGCAATGTTCGCGGAGGCGCACATTGTTGGTTTCTATGCCATTTTACGCAAGCGGATGGCATCTTTAATGCATCGCGCAAGATGCAGCTCCAATGGCTTTTTAAAAGTATTATCAGACAGACATGACTGTAGAATATGGAAACACTGGCTAAAGCTGACTGGAAGGTCAACCCCTGACAGACCGGTACAGTAGTTGTTGTGTGTGTAGTTTCAAAGTAATATAGGTAAACTAACATTAGTTAATAAGTGTTTGTATAACTAACAAATGATATGGATTTTTAATTAACTGAAATAAATGATTATTATTATTATTATCATTAATTGACCTTTGTTACGGATAGACATTCATTGCACTACGATCTTAATTTTATCGCACTAGACCAGAGTCGAAATTTCTCGAAACGTTTGCTTCAGATTGGAAATATCGATATATAAATAACATACAGTGTTTTTTTTTATCCGAAACCATAGAAAATAGATGAGATGGAAACAGTCTTAGGAACAATTATGGCCTGGTCAATGTTTTGGTCAAGCGTGAGTTGTCCATAAAAAAGAATAAAATTGATCAACATTTTTTTTAGTGCTGATCGATTTACTTTTATATAAAGACGAGCCCTGTAACCCACCTACGGTGGGGTTGGGCTGGGCCTGCGTGATCTGTTTCAGTTTACGGGGTATGCTCATGTTTCTTCGGTGGCACAGCAGTTAGTACTATGGGCGCTTGATGGGGAGGTCGATTCCCGATACCAATTTAAGAAACGAACATTTCTAAGTTGGTTTTGGTCTGAGTATGCTGAGTTATCGTTGATTTTGTATTCATAGTACCTACATAGTACAGGAAATTCGGCAGTAGTTTGGAATTTTTTCCCCCAAAATTATTTTTCTCTTTGGCATAATTCTCAAGAAAATGAAATCTAACATAGAGACGGTTGAGGTACAACAACGTTATAATAAGTATTTAATTTCCACTACATCGGGAAGCATGCTTTACATTTTTACAATTGTGAGATCTTGTACTCGTAATCTATTACGTCTCCGTATATTATCCCCATTCGATGGCGTGTGGACGCTTCGGGCTTCGCCCTCAGCGGACCTCGGCCTCCGGCCTCGGCACTTATGGCTTTGTTTTAAAAAAATTGAAATAGCTCTTTAATGGCGGCCATATTTAAAAATCGCAAAAATATATTTTGATTATTAACCATTAATTATTATCAAACAATCTTAGAAATCTTTTCGTGCCAATTTTCAGTCCGAGCAAAGCAAGTTTTTTCAAGAGCCATTTACATAAAAAATTACGGCTTTATCGAAAAACGGCAGAAAGAAAATGTTTACCCCAAATTGTAATTGAAGCCATGACATTTGCAGTCAAATTAGAAGAATATTTTATCTACCGCCAAAAAAGTTTGTATGGCAGCCAAATTGAAAAAAGGCGAAAAATAAATTTTGATCGCTAATTATTATTAAAAACTCATAGACTCCGACATGTCCATTTTCAATCGAATTAGAGCAAATTTTTATCCGGCGCTAAAAAAGTTTGTATGGCAGCCATATTGAAAAAAGGCGAAATTTATAAAATATAAATTTCGACCGCAAATTATTATCAAACACCTATAGAGATCCCCACATATCGATTTTCAGTTGAATTAGAGCTAATTTTTATTAGTTGTTGAATGGCGGCCATATTAAAAAATGGCGTAAAAACATTTTTGATCACAAATTATTATCAAGCATTCCTAGACACATGCCAATTTTCAAAGGGATCAGAGTATTTTTTTCTGCCGTCAACGAACGCTTCTATGGCCATATTTGAAAATGGCGAAAAACCAATTTTGACCACAAATTATCATCCGGCACTTCTAGAGGCCTCCGCATGCAAAACGTTTATATGACAGCCATATTAAAAAATGGCGAAAAGAAACTTTTGACCCCAAATTATGGTTAAGGACTCCTAAAGACTCTCGCAAACCAATTTTCAGCCGGATCGAAGCAAGTTTTTCTTCAGCCGCCATTTTGAATTCGCCATCTTGT